CTACAAATACCTAGGTGTCTGGTTAGACTGTAAACTCTCCTTCTAGACTCACCTTAAGCATCTCCAATCCAAAGTTAAATCTAGAATCGGCTTCCTATTTCGCTACAAAGCCTCCTTTACTCATGCTGCTAAACATGCCCTCGTAAAACTGACTATCCTACCGATCCTTGACTTCGGCGATGTCATTTACAAAATAGCTTCCAACACTCTACTCAGCAAATTGGATGTAGTCTATCACAGTGCCATGCGTTTTGTCACCAAAGCCCCATATACTACCCACCATTGTGACCTGTACGCTCTCGTTGGCTGGCCCTCACTACATATTCTTCGCCAAACCCACTGGCTCCAGGTCATCTATAAATCCCTTCTAGGCAAATCCCCCCTTTTCTTAGCTCATTGGTCACCATAGCAACACCAACCCGTAGTATGCGTTCCAGCAGATATATCTCACTGGTCATCCCCAAAGCCAACACCTCCTTTGGTTGACATTCCTTCCAGTTCTCTGCTGCAAATGACTGGAACGAACTGCAAAAATCTCTGAAGCTGGAGACACTTATCTCCCTCACTATCTTTAAGCATCAGTTGTCAGAGCAGCTTACCGATCACTGCACCTGTACACAGCCCATCTGTAATTAGCCCGCCCATCTGTAATTAGCCCACCCAACTACCTCATCCCCATATTGTTATTTACATTGTTATTTATTTTGCTCATTTGCACCCCAGTATCTCTATTTGCACATAATCTTCTGCACATCTATCACTCCAGTGTTAATACTAAATTATAATTGTAATTATTTTGCACTATGGCCTATTTATTGCCTTACCTCCATAACTTACTACATTTGCACACACTGTATATAGATTTTCTATTGTGTTATTGACTGTACGTTTTGTTTATTCCATATGTAACTCTGTGTTGTTGTTGCTTTTATCGCACTGCTTTGCTTTATCTTGGCCAGGTCGCAGTTGTAAATGAGAACTTGTTCTCAACTGGCTTACCTGGTTAAATAAAGGTGAAAAATAAAATGTTTGTAAATGGCAATAAAATAGGATAGAATTGTTTATCACTTTTTAATTGATAACTAGCTTGGCTTAGAGATGAACACAAGTATTAATATTTTTTTAAATAGTTACTTAACGGCATATTGCATTCACTGGGTTCGCTGTCTAAAATACTCTCATCAGCTCAAATAGCAAACTGTGTGAATGTTATGATAATCTGCCTGACTTGGCCTCAGTTAGGCCTAATGGGACTTGATTGGTTCCTGCTCATCCATGCAGCAGCTAATGTCTTTCCTCTGACTTAGTGGGAGTCTGTGTCTTCCTTGACTCATCTGGTCTGAATTTAGACTCCCTCTGGACCTACGTGCTCTTGTGGCGATGTGTGAGAAGTCATCAAGGCTCCTGAAAACATAGCTGTAGTGGTGCATCAATGGAAAAACACGCGTCTTTCCCCAAACTTCACCATTTCCATGTACGCACACACTGATTATCTATCAAGAAGATGAATCTCCCCCGCTGAGCACATGCACACACAGCCGGCACACACGCACGGACATACACAGACACACACACACACACTTGGATGCGTATGGCATGCTTCGGTGGATGTGTAACCAGGCCAGCACAGTACAGCTCATTTCAGCTTTACTGCTCAGTAGAGTGAAAAGGATATTAAAGATCTGAAAGGACTGAATAGGTGTAAGCAACATATGGAAAATTCCATCCAGCCCGTCTGAGGGCTAGGTCAAGCTATAACCAGAGGGGCAAGCTATTATTGCTGACTCCTATCCAAGTCTTCCAGATCTATAAAATGTACCATGGGGTAGAGGTAGGGATTAGGGGTCGGTTTAGAATTGGTCACCCGAGTCCTTGAGCGTTCCATTAAGAACACTGTACACACTGTCTTATTAAAGCTGAGAAGGCAGAGGTGGCTCTGTGGTGCAAGTTTCTCCATTAAACAGAGAAAGGTTTGTTGTATTGGACGGAGGGTTGGCAGCGTTCTCCAGAGAAGGACTAGCTGTGCCACGTCAGTTTGTTAAGACACAGGCTCTTTGTAAATAGGAGTACAACAGCTACAATGTGATACACCACAGGCGACGTGTGTGTGTGTCTGTAACTGTGTGTTTATGTGACTTCACTTCTCACATGATTGGATACAGGATTGTAGTTGTTTTGTGGAAACCTCCGTATTCATCTAGTTGTTAACATTCCACTGGCCGATAGAACACCCAATTCCATTCATAAAAAATGTCAGTACAGCTGCAAGCTTGTCCTGATAATTGTAGTGGGCACACTCACTGGCATCAGCCCCCTTTGCAATGAAAGCACTGATGAATGCCACCATGTTTGTGAAGGCCTTTACAACAAATACAATACGGCGCCTAATACCTCCAGTCGAAACAGAGGGGCGTCAAAAGAGCTGAACTCCACAATTGACCCTGTGAGGAAGTTGACCTAGTGGATTAAAATTGTGAAAGACCCTGCTGACACAGAGCAGCTTTTTGGAGAACTCCACGACTCAAGTAGAGTACTGGGAGTTTCCATCTCCAGAGGGGAGCAGACTGAGAGAGAGGGGGAGGGTGTGGTGGGGGTGAAGAGAGCAGGGGGGTGGGGGAGAGAGAGCAGGGGGGTGGGGGGAGAGAGCAAGGTAAAGAGAGAGAGAGGGGGGTAGAGAGAGAGACTGCCGTCAGCTGCCTGCCAGCAACAGGAGCCGCAGCTTCAGGTTTCCTCGTCTGGAAAAGCCACAGCAGCAGACCAAGACCAACGGAAGGGAGGAAAGGGATTATGCACACACGAATACACTCACATACACGTGTGAGCATACACGCGCTTCCATCAAACAGACAGATAACGCGTACATACACAAGCATAATAGTGTCACATAAAAACTCCTGCGTTCTTCTACACATACATACTAGGACAGACACAGGCACTAGTTCTCTCAAACACACACACACACACACACAGCCTGTATCTCAGTTAACCCCAGCTGGAAACTATGTAGGAGTCAGGGAGACTAATCGCTGATTGGCTTGGTGGACCAACGCTACACGTTCCAGGAAATCAGAGCAGTGATTTTGCGCTTGGTGAGAATTTGAGTGTCGAGCATTACACGCCAATAACCAAGCAGAACGTTCTGGTTCCTGCACCATCTGAACCCTCCCAGCCCGGGCCCACTGCCCAGCCAGCCGCTCTCTTACCCCATCTATCACCCACTAAAGGGTCTACCCAGGTTTAGCTGTCTCTGCTCGGACTCTCTCTATGCTCCTTTCCACTCCACTTTCTCTCATTCTCTCCTCTCTAATCGCTCTCTCCATTTGTCTCTCCCTTCCTCTCTCCTTATTCTCTCGCTCTTCATTTTTCTTGGCCCTCAAGGATTGAAATCGGTTTGTTGAGTCAATCAGGTGATAACCAGTGATGTTAGCCGAACATGACAAGTTTACCAGACAAGAAAATGTCAATTTACACGGGGGAAGGCAAGTTCAGCCAAAACACCTAATTCGATACGACATGCTCTGCTGTTATGGCTTACTCCATCATGTGTGATATCCAAAACCTCAGGGCTCTGTCCCTGAAGCACTGTTCTGCCTCTAGCCAAGAACTTTATGTCCCCCTTTGTGTGCGGATACATACCGGCTGGTCAAATGGTGTCTATTGGCTAGTCTGATTTCATGGGAGTACTTTATACTAGAATATTAGAAGGAACTAGCCTTTATTCTAGAAGTTCCTCATACTTCAACCTTCTCTTCGTCGGTGACCCTCAAGATCAGCCTGCCTTTAATAAAGATCTTATTTCCCTTCCAAAAAATTTTCAACCCTCTTCATTTACAGAGTTTGAATGGGGGGGGGGGGTCTTCTTGACTTTTTTGACCTATCCTGACAGAGGGAGTTGTTTTGGAGATGACAGCGTGAAGGGAGATGTAAAAACCTGCTGTGGGTTAAGTCATCAGTATCAGTATCATATTAAGGGTATCATTGTATCTCGATGACTCATGTTGCAGCTGAAAAGGGTCAGGATCATTCCCCAGAGTGAAAATCAAGCTGCAGCATCTTCCTGCATAAGCCCCTAGACACCATAGATGTACTCACAGAGAAAAATCCATTGATTACGCCACACAAATAATTACGTCAACTGAGTTAATGCAAAGTCAAGCTTTCTGACATGGATTTTCTCTCCACTTAATCCTGATGAATTGCCACTGGAGAGGTTTGTTTGACCCCCTCAGTTTGTTTTTGATAATTCATTAGTACTAGCTTTGTACCTACACACACCCACACACACTAAATGTGCTTGGCAGCTGTGTCTGCAATGCAGGAGACACTGGAGAGAGCCTCTATGGAAAAAGGGCTGAAGCCAGCTGGATGCGAAGCAAAGCAGTGGAAAGCTTTTTCCACTGCTGTCAGTCGAAAAATGCAGACTCTTCTCACCCCTCTCTCTCCCTCCCCCTTCCTCCTCACAGAGTATTCCAACCATAGCGAGCTGGCCTCCCTCTTATCCCTTGGAGGAAACGTTTCATGGACACACTGACATATTATGTACAGACAGTACAGACTGTGTCCGGGAGCATTACACATATTGCTGTTAGAGTCCATTGTCCACTGACAGGCTGTGGTGTCTGTCCATGTGTCCAAACAAGCCAGGACATTCTATTCTGTCCCTGACCTGCATCCCAGGCAGTTCAATCACTGCACAGAGCAGAAACTGTCAGTTGTCAATATTGGTAGAAAATGGCCTGAAATGTGTATCTCTATAGTTAAGTCACACTCTCTATGCATTGCAAAATTCTGACGTTGCAAAATTCCGGAAATTTACCAGGTTTTTCAAAAATCCTGCTTCAAGGATTTTCAGTTGAAGGATTCCCTCCCAGCTTATTCCCTCCTGATTCTGGGGAACCTCCAACTGGAATTTCTGAAAAACCTGGGAACTTTGACAAACAATGATACGATACAGGACGGTATGATAGACTATACAGGATGATACAATACTTTAATGAAGTGCATCTATCTCCTTGGCTCTCTCAGAGCGTGTGTACTGGGACTCAGAGCTGCGGATCCCCACGGCCAGCTTCGAGGAGGTCCTTCACGACGACAAGGCCGCCCTAGCCTGGCTGCTGGCTCTACGCCGCGTGGGCATCGTCTACCTGAAGGGGGCGCCGGTGGAGCAGGGTCAGGTGGCCCGCCTCAGCCAGAGGATCGGATACCTCCGACTGACGTTCTATGGGTGAGAAACCATGCCCTCTGACTGTATTAGCGTCATACACTCTTAAGCCAAACCACAGTGATATAATTTCATATGAATCTATAAGCTCTGCATTTCCCACACAGCTTTATATTCCCACCGCAGTAGATTCACTAGGGTGCGTTTGTTGAACTTTGCCGTCATGTCCGATTTTCCTAAATATGATAATTATAGAAACCATTGCTACTCTCAACTATCCGCTCCTTTGTATACTGAGGATAACATGGACAGCCTGGTTAAACCAGACTGAATGCTACACTCACTATTATTGCCTGGATTAACCAGAAGTTTAATGGACATGCAACCGAATTGAGTTTTGGTAGGTAGGCCTCAGTCCATCTTAACTCGGACTGATCTAGTTCAGTAATGCTTGCACAGGGACAAAGACTGGGAGGCCAGTCCAAAATGTATCCAGGGGACGTTAAGCCAGAGGTATTACCCGATACACTCAATCAAAGCTGAGGTTGGAACAACAAGCATCCCACAGCCAGCAGTTTAGCCCAGGTCGGTGGAAGCTAACAGCTGCGAACCAAAGTAAGAGAAATGTCATTAAAGAAGCTGCAGTTTTTGTTTATTGTAAAAAATAAAACAAAAAGACAAAAAGAAGCTGCAGTATTTGTCTTCCACAATCAACAACCCAAGAGACAACAAAATACCAGGGCACATATTTGCATATATTTGAGCACAGAGACTCCATGCCAAGAGCAAAGAAGACACCTAGTATAATTGACATACTATTTCATCAGCATCCATTTAACAAACGCTATAAATGTAGGACGATGAGTAACTTTTTCCATGTCCTGTTGCTCTTGAACCTTTTTAATCTTTCCAAAGACAATGCCTTGGTCATTAGTGCTCAACACCTTTGTGATTACATAATTTGTCAATAATCATTAATAATGGACCTTTCTCAACTTTTCTCATTCCTTCCTCAGGCACACATGGCAGGTGCAGGACAAACCCCAGGCTAACAACGTGGCCTACACCTCTGGCAAACTCTGTCTCCACACTGACTATCCAGCACTGCACTACCCACCTGGAGTGAGTAGACAGGATCCACCGTCATCTTCATGAAATCTACATTAATCCTCTCCTTTCCCACTATCAGTCAGACACCTGAGTCACATCTGGATAAAACACTCTTGCACACACACACACACACACACACACATACAGTGAGGGGAAAAAAGTATTTGATCCCCTGCTGATTTTGTATGTTTGCCCACTGACAAAGACATGATCAGTCTATAATTTGAATTGTAGGTTTATTTGAACAGTGAGAGACAGAATAACAACAAAAAAATCCAGAAAAACGCATGTCAAAAATGTTACAAATTGATTTGCATGTTAATGAGGGAAATAAGTATTTGACCCCTCTGCAAAACATGACTTAGTACTTGGTGGCAAAACCCTTGTTGGCAATCACAGAGGTCAGACGTTTCTTGTAGTTGGCCACCAGGTTTGCACACATCTCAGGAGGGATTTTGTTCCACTCCTCTTTGCAGATCTTCTCCAAGTCATTAAGGTTTCGAGGCTGACGTTTGGCAACTCGAACCTTCAGCTCCCTCCACAGATTTTCTATGGGATTAATGTCTGGAGACTGGCTAGGCCACTCCAGGACCTTAATGTGCTTCTTCTTGAGCCACTCCTTTGTTGCCTTGGCCGTGTGTTTTCGGTCATTGTCATGCTGGAATACCCATCCACGACCCATTTTCAATGCCCTGGCTGAGGGAAGGAGGTTCTCACCCAAGATTTGACGGTACATGGCCCCGTCCATCATCCCTTTGATGCGGTGAAGTTGCCCTGTCCCCTTAGCAGAAAAACACCCCCAAAGCATAATGTTTCCACCTCCATGGTTGACGGTGGGGATGGTGTTCTTGGGGTCATAGGCAGCATTCCTCCTCCTCCAAACACAGCGAGTTGAGTTGAGTCCACAACACTTTCACCCAGTTCTTCTCTGAATCATTCAGATGTTCATTGGCAAACTTCAGACAGCCCTGTATATGTGCTTTCTTGAGCAGGGGGACCTTGCGGGCGCTGCAGGATTTCAGTCCTTCACGGCGTAGTGTGTTACCAATTTTTTTCTTGGTGACTATGGTCCCAGCTGCCTTGAGATCATTGACAAGATCCTCCTGTGTAGTTCTGGGCTGATTCCTCACCGTTCTCATGATCATTGCAACTCCACGAGGTGAGATCTTGCATGGAGCCCCAGGCCGAGGGAGATTGACAGTTATTTTGTGTTTCTTCCATTTGCAAATAATCGCACCAACTGTTGTCACCTTCTCACCAAGCTGCTTGGCGATGGTCTTGTAGCCCATTCCAGCCTTGTGTAGGTCTACAATCTTGTCCCTGACATCCTTGGAGAGCTCTTTGGTCTTGGCCATGGTGGAGAGTTTGGAATCTGATTGATTGATTGCTTCTGTGGACAGGTGTCTTTTATACAGGTAACAAACTGTGATTAGGAGCACTCCCTTTAAGAGTGTGCTCCTAATCTCAGCTCATTACCTGTATAAAAACCACCTGGGAGCCAGAAATCTTTCTGATTGAGAGGGGGTCAAATACTTATTTCCCTCATTAAAATGCAAATCAATTTATAACATTTTTGACATGCGTCTTTCTGGATTTTTTTGTTGTTATTCTGTCTCTCACTGTTCAAATAAACCTACCATTAAAATTATAGACTGATCATTTCTTTGTCAGTGGGCAAACGTACAAAATCAGCAGGGGATCAAATACTTTTTTCCCTCACTGTACATACACACATACATACACAAACACTACCAGTCAAAGGTTTGGATACACCTACTCAAGGGTTTTTCTTTATTTTGACAGTTCTTTACATTGTAGAATAATAGTGAAGACATCAAAACTATGAAATAACACATATGGAATCATGTAGTAACCAAAAAAGTGTTAAACAAATGCATTTTATATTTGAGATTCTTCAAATAGCCACCCTTTGCCTTGATGACAGCTATGCACACTCTTGGCATTCTCTCAACCAGCTTCATGAGGTAGTCACATTTAACAGGTGTGCCTTCTTAAAAGTTAATTTGTGGAATTTCTTTCCTTCTGAAAGCGTTTGAGCCAATCAGTTGTGTTGTGACAAGGTATGGTGGGTAAACAGAAGATAGCCCTATTTGGTAAAAGACCAAGTCCATTTTATGGCAAGAACAGCTCAAATAAGCAAAGAGAAACAACAGTCCATCATTACTTTAAGACATGAAGGTCAATACGGAACATTTCAAGAACTTTTAAAGTTTCTTCAAGTGCAGTTCGCAAAAATCATCAAGTGCTATGATGAAACTGGCTCTCATGAGGACCGCCACAGGAATGGAAGACCCAGAGTTACCTCTGCTGCAGAGGATAAGTTCATTAGAGTTACCAGCCTCAGAAATTGCAGCCCAAATAAATGCTTCACATCAACTGTTCAGAGGGGACTGTGTGAATCAGGCCTTCATGGTCGATTGCTGCAAAGAAACCACTATAAAGGACACAAATAATAAGAAGAGACCTGCTTGGGCCAAGAAACACGAGCAATGGACATTAGACCGGTGGAAATTTGTCTGGATTGGAGATTTTTGGTTCCAACCGCTGTGTCTTTGTGAGATGCGGTGTGGGTGAACGGATGATCTCCGCATGTGTAGTTCCCACCCTAAAGCATGGAGGAGGAGGTGATATTGTGTGGGGGTGCTTTGCTGGTGACACTGTCTGTGATTTATTTAGAATTCAAGGCACTCTTAACCAGCATGGCTACCACAGCATTCTGCAGCGATATGCCATCCCATCTAGGGACTATCATTTGTTTTTCAACAGGACTATGACCCAACACACCTCCAGGCTGTGTAAGGGTTATTTGACCAAGAAGGAGAGTGATGGAGTGCTGCATCAGATAACCTGGCCTCCACAATCCCCCGACCTCAACCCAATTGAGATAGTTTGGGATGAGTCGAACGGCAGAGTGAAGGAAAAGCAGCCAACAAGTGCTCAGCATATGTGGGAACTCCTTCAAGACTGTTGGAAAAGCATTCCAGGTGAAGCTGGTTTGGAGAATGCCAAGAGTGTGCAAAGCTGTCATCAAGACAAAGGGTGGCTACTTTGAAGAATCTCAAATCTATTTGTTTAACACTTTTTTGGTTACTACATGATTCCATATGTGTTATTTAATAGTTTTGATGTCTTCACTATTATTCTACAATGTAGAAAATAGTAAAAATAAAGAAAAACCCTTGAATGAGTAGGTGTGTCCAAACTTTTGACTGGTACTGTATATACACTGCTCAAAAAAATAAAGGGAACACTTAAACAACACAATGTAACTCCAAGTCAATCACACTTCTGTGAAATCAAACTGTCCACTTAGGAAGCAACACTGATTGACAATATATTTCACATGCTGTTGTGCAAATGGAATAGACAACAGGTGGAAATGATAGGCAATTAGCAAGACACCCTCAATAAAGAAGTGGTTCTGCAAGTGGTGACCACAGACCACTTCTCAGTTCCTATGCTTCCTGGCTGATGTTTTGGTCACTTTTGAATGCTAGCGGTGCTTTCACTCTAGTGGTAGCATGAGACAGAGTCTACAACCCACACAAATGGCTCAGGTAGTGCAGCTCATCCAGGATGGCACATCAATGCGAGCTGTGGCAAGAAGGTTTGCTGTGTCTGTCAGCGTAGTGTCCAGAGCATGGAGGCGCTACCAGGAGACAGGCCAGTACATCAGGAGATGTGGAGGAGGCCGTAGGAGGGCAACAACCCAGCAGCAGGACCGCTACCTCCGCCTTTGTGCAAGGAGGAGCAGGAGGAGCACTGCCAGAGCCCTGCAAAATGACCTCCAGCAGGCCACAAATGTGCATGTGTCTGCTCAAACGGTCAGAAACAGACTCCATGAGGGTGGTATGAGGGCCCGACGTCCACAGGTGGGGGTTGTGCTTACAGCCCAACACCGTGCAGGACGTTTGGCATTTGCCAGAGAACACCAAGATTGGCAAATTCGCCACTGGCGCCCTGTGCTCTTCACAGATGAAAGCAGGTTCACACTGAGCACATGTGACAGACGTGACAGAGTCTGGAGACGCCGTGGAGAACGTTCTGCTGCCTGCAACATCCTCCAGCATGACCGGTTTGGCGGTGGGTCAGTCATGGTGTGGGGTGGCATTTCTTTGGGGGGCCGCACAGCCCTCCATGTGCTCGCCAGAGGTAGCCTGACTGCCATTAGGTACCGAGATGAGATCCTCAGACCCCTTGTGAGACCATATGCTGGTGCGTTTGGCCCTGGGTTCCTCCTAATGCAAGACAATGCTAGACCTCATGTGGCTGGAGTGTGTCAGCAGTTCCTGCAAGAGGAAGGCATTGATGCTATGGACTGGCCCGCCCGTTCCCCAGACCTGAATCCAATTGACCACATCTGGGACATCATGTCTCGCTCCATCCACCAACGCCACGTTGCACCACAGACTGTCCAGGAGTTGGCGGATGCTTTAGTCCAGGTCTGGGAGGAGATCATAAGGAGCATGCCCAGGCGTTGTAGGGAGATCATACAGGCACGTGGAGGCCACACACACTACTGAGCCTCATTTTGACTTGTTTTAAGGACATTACATCAAAGTTGGATCAGCCTGTAGTGTGGTTTTCCACTTGAATTTTGAGGGTGACTCCAAATCCAGACCTCCATGGGTTGATAAATTTGATTTCCATTGATAATTTTTGTGTGATTTTGTTGTCAGCACATTCAACTATGTAAAGAAAAAAGTATTTAATAAGATTATTTCATTCATTCAGATCTAGGATGTGTTGTTTAAGTGTTCCCTTTATTTTTTTGAGCAGTGTATATAAGCAGTTTACTGCACAAAGTCCCCACCCCCTACGTATTGTAAGACGTATGTATCCTGTATGGGATGGCTGTTAGCAACAGTACTAATATCCTGTATGGCTGTTTGCAGGTGCAGTTCCTGCATTGCCTGTGCCAGGCTGGCGAGGGCGGGGAGAGTGAAGCGGTGGATGGCTTCCACATGGCAGATCAACTGAGGAGAGAAGACCCCGAGGCCTTCAGGACCCTCACCTCCCTGCGGGTGGACTTCACAGACACAGGGTCCGACTACTGCGACTTCATAGTGCAGTCCAAGAACCACATCATAGAGTGAGTGAGTGCCGCACCATTAAAATACATAAGACATGGATGCATTGGTCTGTTTTTCGCACACATAAGAGCCATCACTCAGCTTACATATTAATATGACCTGACAGGAGGTCAGTCTAGAACTGCTCCAGGTAGCACATGGACCAAAATACACACACACACACACACACACACGGACACTCACTCACTCACACTTACATTCTCAGGATGATCTTAAAGCTACATGAATGTGATTTAGGAGCTTGATGGATATGTGTCGCCATCTGCTGCTCAGAATGTAAACCGCAGTATCAATGTATAATACACAACCTGCAACCAATGTTCCCTCTAAGCTGTGTGCAGGCGCGCAGATCCCATCGGACTGCTGCGCACAATAAATATCAGCCCGCGCAGAGAAGCACGAGATTGAACTTCACACAACTTTCTAGAGTTTTCCCCTTTAGTTAACACTATCAACGTTTCGCTCTACTGTGGGAATTGTGCTCAAATCAATGCAATATTAGCCACTTTCAATGTAACATACAGAAACAAAACAAACTATGCAAGACTTTAGTATGCAAAACTAACTGTACAAGAGGATTTTCTTGTAGGAAGAGCGCATTGGTGTAGGATTCAATTGCGTTGACAGGCACGACTCAGGACAATACTCTACACCAGGGTTCTTCAATTCCGGTCCTGGAGGGCCGAAACACCTCTGTTTTTCATCCTCTCCTTCTAATCAGGGGCTAATTCAGACCTGGGACACCAGGTGAGTGCAATTAACTACCAGGTAGAAATAAAAAACAGAAGTGTTTCGGCCCTCCAGGACCGGAATTGAAGAACCCTGCTCTACACAGACCGGTGCGCCATGAACAATCAGAGCTGCAGTAGGCCTATATGCAAATAGCCATTGCCATATATGGATCTGTGCCATTCACTTTGAACTGGACTGTGTTTACAGCGTGCGTGGTTGTGAGTAGATGCGCTTGTTTTGAGATCAAAGCGAGAGCTGCATGTAGCCACCTGTGCACATTTGTTCATACTCTTTGCTACTGCATGTAGCCACCTGTGCACATTTGTTCATACTCTTTGCTAGTTAGTGAGTTATTAGCCCAGTTATAGCAATTTTTTGGTCAACAGTGCTTCCTACAAGAGCACAAAATGTGTGCATTTCTAGCCATCTTTGAAAAGCTAGTCAGGTAAAGAGCTATTTTTTTATGTCTTAAAGGGGCAGTGTTGTATTTTGAGACGGTCTTGAATAAGCTAAGTGGATAAACAGGTTAATGTCAAGCTCTGCATGTTTTTTTCAAAAGTCTCATGGAATGTAGACCTACTTTGTACACCACACATTTGCTGCTACTGTAGGCTGAATGATAGAACAGCTATTTCCATGTTAAAATGTTATGGGATGCATTTTTCTCCATGGTTTTGATGGTAGGCCACTCTAGTAGGCCTACATTATGATCAAGTAGCCTACTTGGCCATTGTTAAAACTGTAACTTAAAGCGGGAACAGCCTCAGTGTTCACAGTAAACACGTCCCGGAAGTTGCACAGAATGTTGCTCAGTGAAATTTGGTCAGTGCCCAAAAAATGTTGATGGAACATTGCCTGCAACTGATGGTTGAGAAGATTATTTTAAGTGAGCAAGCAAGGTCACTGTGGGAATTTCTATTTACTGATCTTATACGATTGTACCAGATATGAGCATCGGACACTTGACAACTGCTGAGTCTTATTATGCAACAAGACCTAGATGTCCATCATGCAGTCATTTTCATAGTTTCTAAAGGTTGACACACACACACTCACTAACAGTGGCACCCCTCCTCTCTCTGTGCAGTGTTGACAGTGATGGGCGGGTGGTCCGGATCAACTACAACAATGCCACCAGGGACTCTGTGCTGGACCTCCCCCTGCACCAGGTCCAGGCCTTCTACAGCTCCCTCAAGGCCTATGTCCAGCTGATGACGCGACCAGAAAACGTGCTCACCTACAAGATGGAGCCTGGTTAGTGTGTGTGCGTGAGTGTGCCCCTTCAAGATTAGCAGTTAAAGTGACGCTTCCCTGGATAAAAGTTGGCAATATGAGTAGGATTGCATTGTAAAATATTGCATTCATTGTAGTTCCAAATGTTGTAGAGGTGGTAGACTTACCTACCGTCTATGACTATTGGTTATCTTTTATGTGTCAAACTGTAGTAGCACATGAGAGGTAGCCTATACGTTTGAACTTTCATCTTGAAGTATCTGTATAACATGGGTGAGTACTGAGTCGGCATATCCCTCCACCACCTCCTGCAGGCGACCTGGTTACCTTTGACAACTGGCGCCTGCTCCATGGGCGGAAGAGCTATCTGAGCCACCCAGACCGGGTGAGACACCTGGAGGGAGCCTACCTGGACTGGGACGAAGTCATGTCTCGCCTGCGGATACTCTGCAAGTCTGTCAATGGAGAGAGCTAGGCCCGCCAAGCCCCCAGATCGAAGCCTCCTCCAACTATATAGAACAGCATCTATCAATAGCAGGGCTTCTCCAACCCTGTTCCTGGAGGTTTTCACTCCAACCCTAATCTAGTGCACCTGATTCTAATAATTAGTTTAGTTACAACTGGGGTTGGAGTGAAAACCTACAGGAGGGTATCTCTCCAGGAACAGGGTTGGAGAGTCCTGATCTACAGAATTTCGGAGCGGGGAAAAGAGGCAGAGGCTAATTGTCTAGTGGGCTACAGCTACCCCTGTGTGGGTCAAGATGGCTGCCGGTCTTTTGAACAGAGTGACAAGTGGGCAAAGTGCAAGAAGATGTGGGAAAATTTGATGGAAAAGGGTTGAGCACTTCCCTAAATGATAAACACCCCTTCATAAGTGCTAACAGAGGCATATAAACTGTATATGAGAAGCATAACCTATGAAGAATCTGTCATTTACTGTATGAAGCAGGTAGACTATAGTGCCTTTGTTCCTAGGGTTGTGTAAGCGAAAATATTGAGCTATCTTTCGCTTTGCTCTAATCTATTTTTCTATTAGCCTGTGTTCTACTGGTCAAAATTTGGTAGCACTTTACTACATCTACTTCTCAATGTCTTAAGGGTGTCACATCAACAAGAGGTGATGAAGTTTGTGACATATTTTCTACCTCTGTCATATTGAATCCAGTAGTATAGTTCAGTTTCAGCCATCTAGTGTATAGCACTAGTATCGGCCCCCCCAAATCAAAACTTTTTTAATAACTCTCATTACAATAACTCTCCATATGTAAAATGTATGCACATGCAAGTTTGGATAAAAGCATCTGCTAAGGGATTAATTGAAATTTACATAATGGTTACCTGGGGGTAATTGGGGGAGGGTCATGCTTTTTCAATTTCAGTCAAGGAGAGGGTTTAGTATATATATATATTTAATCTAGTCCAGGGGAGGGTCATGTAATTTGTCAGTTGATGACATTTCAATATTTATCAATGTTAGTTGCTTATTAGGCTATATATTGATGTGTGCCCGATGCCACCCCTCATCTCTGATTCTCCGCTGGGTGCGCAAATAGACTATTTAGTGTGGTCTCAATCAATTGATCCATAGCCTATAGGCTACGAAGTGCATGCTCGGAAAAGCACAGAGCAAAGTTATATTTCTAAGATAGCTGCTGATGGTGTAAAAACATCTAGGCTGCATTACACATTGCAATGGATATTCCAACCCTGAGCCCCGGCCTGCTCTGCTCTTGCGGATCAAAAACGTTTTTGTGTGCTGCCTAACCAATGGCTGTGCTGTGTAGGCCTACAGTGGCAGTTCAGGAGGAGAGTCAAAGGCTTCTACAATTTTATTTATTTATTAGGCCTAGTCCAAAAAATATTGCGCATGGACTAGCCTATGTTCTGTTCAGTTTGAGAAGGAGAGCGCGACGACGATGAGGAGGACCTGAGGTAAACTTTGATAGCTTGCTACTGATATAATTTATTTTATTAAAAACAATATGTTTCTTGCCCATTTATGTATTTATCAGAGTTATTGACCTCACAAGAAGCCAGATTCGAGTAACTTGCATTGTGTTGCTGAAACTTGAAGCAGCAGTCCGCGGCACAATCAATCGGAAATGGACAGCTCATGGTGCTGAAAGTAGGCATTATTCATTTCAAGTCTTCATTTGAATGAGACTTTGCTAACAACAAGAGGGCTTTGTGTTGGAACCTATTTCTTCCTATTTAAGAAATAAGAGGTAGGCCTACCTGTTTGTCAGATGAAATTAGGCTATAGAATGCTATATCCATAGACTTGTCGCTCATTTCCTCCACCCACTCTTTAAATAGCCTACCTCCATGTCAATGAAGGGCTGTTAAGTTAAAACCAAGACCTGAATTGAGGGGGTATGAAAGGGGATCCCTAATGATGTCTCAGATTTAATTATTTGCAAACAGGGACAGTTTCGTTGCAAACAAGACACTGGTTTGGCATTGGAGAAATATAAGATGAACACATAGGCAAACTCTGTCAATGTTTAGAATGTAATTTTGGTAATTTGTGTGGTATTCAAAAATATGAATATGTGAAATGACGTAGAATTTAATGACATTTTTATAAAAAGCTTTTTTTGGGCGGGGGACCTGCAAATACGATGACAGATTAATGCAATGCTTTAACTATAAAGGAGATATTTCCACCCCTAGGCTACTCTTGTCCATGGTGGTCTGCAAACCTACAAGCTTCTGGCCCGCAGCCCAGTGCGATATCAAAATTCTGGCGTTGCCATGTAATGCATAGATCTGCCATTTGTTTTCAATGGAGAACAACTTGTCCTCTACAGTACATGGGCATGTTGAAAGCCACAAATATAGTGCAACTTGGCATTTAGTTCCAGGACAAACAAATATTTGCTATTGTTCGGTTACAATCGTAGATGTCAATTGTCTATTCTATATTACATATATAGTTCATGCTAACAGCGCTCATTGTAATAATTTGTGGTGATATGTGAATCAGTGCCTTGACAAATGTGTTCATCTAAGGGTATTGTCTTAAACCATGCTAGTATTGCATTAAATCTTCACAAATGTTACTCTAGATTTCATTCTTGATATGTTTTCCAAATATATGTATGCACATTGGATATGTGCTAAATCATTTTGGTATTCATCCAAACTTTGTGGCAAAATAATGACTTGAGACAAAATGGAGGGCTTCAGTTTTGACAACTTTTATTTTGATATTGCCAAAGCTGTACATGTTCTATAAATACTTTTTTCAAACACTGAAATATTTACACCCATTTCAATTATTCCATCACTTTCTCTCTCAGCAGCAGGCTAGCTAGCACAATAATAGGGTTGGTTGGTTTCAAATACTCCTGTTTCTTAATGTTCTCATATGTAACTAGTCTAACAAACTATACCTTATGTTCTGTTACCGTCTTCAAACTGTTTTGAGGCACTCCTCATCCAATTACTCTCATATTTACACCAGTGTTTTTATTGTCAAGAATGAAATGCCTTAAATAATTGCCTGATGGAAGTTGTAACAATATGTTCCTTACACACGCATTTCATCTCTAAAAAATAAAAGCCACATAAACATTAAAAACTATATCCTGATCATATAGCTGAATTATTCATATATTGCTGATCTGGCAAAACAATACACTGCATGTATACACACACTCAAACTGTGGGACTTACAGTTGGGCTGAAATGGGGCTAGATAGGATTTATTTATCTTACTACAATACAGACACAACATGAAGACTTAACACACCTCCCTAACGGACAAAACCATAACAGCAGGGCTCGACAGCACAGCAGTAGGTTTACACATCTCTAGAATCTCCAAATACTGATTTCAGACTTATAAACAATAGATCATCATATTTATTTACTTCAATAAATATGTAAGACAATGAAGTCCTTTTTTTTTACATTCTTTGCTCTTTGAAAGCCAGAATAGCCAAGATTTTTTATCAGAACAATGATCTGGCTCTGGCTAACTACGTAAAGTATTGCACATCTAGTGAATAAACCACACTTTGTAAAACATTTTCTTATGGTGAAATGTACAGCATTCTGCTTCTCTTTTAAAATATTTTGCAATATTTGTAACATGCAATTCAATAAAGAGGACCACAGACAAAAAATTTGACAGAACTACTACAGTAGTTTAGCCTCACAGGGGAAGCTAAAGAGATACAAGCATCTTGGACCACACAAGCTATTTTGGGATCAAAGGGAATGAAACCTTTAAAAAGCTTTTACATGCAGTGTTTGATGCACCATACAGTACTAGCATTTAACAAAGTGACACCCGTCAGTACTAGAGTGCTTTTTAAAAGTTTCACCGGTTTGGACTTGGACAGACTGGAGTTTTACAGTAGTACCACGTAGCACATAGAATATTCATCACACAGTCATAGGGAGTGGAGCAGAGAGTGGACAGGGAGGTTGGTTGCTTTCTTATCGACTTGCAGGGCTGTGCCTCACATATCCCTCCCCGTCGCTGTCTCCATCCCATTAAAAACAACCAATGAGACCTTGGCAGCAGGCCAGGATGAGAGAAGGACAGTCACAAAGAGGGGACAGAGAAGGGGGACGGACGGACCCAGTCTCCCCTTGAAGAACAAGCAAGCTTACGGCCAAGGCCTCAGGCTGGGCCTGTATGGGAGGAGCTTAGAGGACGTGACCAAGGTTGAAGGGTGTACGCACGATGCCACAGACCAGGGTTCACGTGTGTGTGTGTATATATCTATATCATAGGGATTTTACTTACAAGGCAGGGCGCAAAGAGTAGAGGGTATTTCTTGGGAATGTACTTATAGGGCGCAAAGAGGTGTGTGCTTAAGTAGGTCAGGGATTGTCAGAACTCAATGTCATAGTAGGACCGAGATTCCACGTTGTTGCAGAGTGAGAGGCACAGAGGAGGTTTTTGGGGGGGGGGGGGGGGGTGTAGATTGGAGGGGTCGTAGACTAGCTTGGCAGGGATCTTGGAGATAGGAGCTTGGGCTTGCCTTCTGCTTCCTTCCCCTTCACCGCAGCCACGTAAGAGAAAAGGCAGAGGACGGAGTAACAGATCTGGTGTGCCTGTTTGAGAGAGAAAAAAATAAAGAGAACATGAGGGAAGTGTAGCTCTGACCAAGCTACTTGTGGCGTAGTCATACTACTTCTGCTGCCTCTCACTTTATTATTTGGTGTCATGGCTCTGTAGAACTTACACTAATCATGTTATGAATAAAAAGGGGATTACATTATTTGAAAATACTTAAGAGAGATTAAGTAAAAAGGCTACTTGAAAAAAACAAATTACATGCATTTTAGCAGTTATGTCAAAGGGATTACTCTTCAAAATCGTGTCAGGATATATATGCAATGCAGCACTGTTAAAACAGATCTGGTGGCTATTGAATGCCAAGAGCATGGCGTTCACTACAAGAGCGGAAGAGTTCAACTCACCATGGGTGTCTTGTACTTGTGGATCACCACTTCTTTAGTTTCAGGAACTACAAGTGCAGGTGCAAGAGACAAAACAAAGGATTCAAGAGGTTGAAACCCCCCTTTAAGAAAGAGTGTGAGAGCTGGGGGTTGCAGGGGGTGTAGCATGTGATCAGAGTTTTCAGACTATGAGAGGGTGCACAAAAGAGGCTGTGGGCTGAGAGAGTCCACACAAGTACTGACCTGGTTCAGAGCTCACACTTATCTCGAAATGATGCTACCTGATTTGCTTTGGGCATATGAATCAAAACACTGACATGCTTCACTTGGGCATGATGAAAACCTGAAGTCTAAGATGGTGGATACTCTCATATACTATCTGAAGAAAGTGTGGCATTTTCAACATTACATTTCTGCCACTGCTAGGTCTAGCAAATATATTTGATATTTAAGGGGGAGGGACAGTAGAATCTAAGTGCAACTTTGGGTGGTTCTTGCAGACATAAAATACGTTCTTCGTAAACCCTCTCGAATTATAGTCTTTGCGAAGCGAAGTTAAGTAATGCGCTAAGAAAGCTACTGTAGGTTGCTAGCCAGCTAATAAGCTAGCTGAAGAATCCCCTTCTCCCTCAGTCACGAGCAGGGTTGGGTAGGTTACTTTCTCAATGTAATCCGTTAGTTACTACCTGTCCAAAATTGTAAAAACTTTTGGATTACCCAAACTCAGTTACTTTTGGATTACTTACCCCTTATGAGGCATTAGAAGCAGTGGTGTGTATTCATGGATGCCAAGGGAAGCCAGACTTCCCCGAAAAATTGATATATTTAGTCTCTTTGTGTTTTCATAATTTCCCTTCAATTCACAAGAGGCTGAATGCATCTCATGGAGAAAGCATCCGAGAGAGCAACACAGCTCCCCTCTGTCTCTGTATGTGTAGGCCATCTATCTGATGCTGTCGGTCTTAAAGAGTATGACATTGTTGCCAACCATAGCATTGAATGAAAGGAAGGCCAGTGAGCATTTGGCCTCCCTTGATAAAAAAAAAAGCATAAAATAATAGCCAATCAGCATTGAGCTGAACTGAGTGAGCTCAACTGTGAATGGTCCTTGCACACACAAAAAAAACTGTCAAGAAAGCCAGTTTGTATTTGGCTTCACTCCTTTCACATCGCTTCAAGAAAAATACGTAATTGACAGAAACGACTTGAATTGTTGCATCTCGTGTTGTTGTCCTCCGGTGGTTAGCTAGCTACCTAAAATTGGCCCTTTCCTTGTCATGGATGGAGATAGGGATTTGGACTTATGGGTTTTACTTAATTCTCTGTACTGGCCAATGATTATAACAGCGATTCTGATCCAACCCTAAATTCATACATTGTGCCCCTGGACTGAGAGGATGGAAGTTCAATAACTATGTAGCTACATGTAGAAGGATAATGTTAACTAGCTAATGTTGCCCACGAAAGGAAGTTAGGCTAGCGAGCAAGCATTTTAGCCAGGTAGCCTAGGACAACAAAAAAATTAAAGCGTATATTGTATGACAGTCATATACCGTTTCGTCAACATGAAAGAGAAGAGGATGGCATTGCCGTTATTTTACAAGTCAAATCAAATCTTAATTGGTCACATAAACATATTTAGCAGATGTTATTGCGGGTGTAGCGAAATGCTTGTAGTAGGGTGAGTCAACATGTTTTTTTTCTGCATGCACACACACACCAGAACCATGGACAGCCACATCATATTTAGCTTACGTTGATTGGACTAAATTGTTTTTGGTATCTTTTAGTTGTCACTGTATTAGACTAAGCATAGATGATTTGATGATGTTGAAATGTTGAAGTTGAAATGGTGCTGGAATAGTGGAGGCAGCTCCTGTTTTCTTTGCGACTTGCGGTAACTCTCTGTGGTTCAAAATCAATAGTTGTTTAGTAGTCCGAAAATGTCATAAACATTAACTTGCTTGACCATGCTGTAGGTCATGTAACGGTTTGTTACATGCAATATGCTTTGTGGACTTCAACTGACAGCGGTTGCTCTCTGGTTTTGTGATGAAACAAAGGTGTGGTTGAATTCAGGGGCGCAACTTTGGTTTTAGAAGTAGGTGGGACACTTTTTTTTAATCCAGTCGGATAAACACTCCAAACAGCCTACCCGACTGCTCGGAGGCGTCCGCATGGTCCTAAAGCACACCGTTGCCCTGTTTTGTATGCAAAAATGCAATGTCAGAATTACACTGTTGCGGTAAGCCGTGGTCAGAACAGTATTTTGTAATATCCATTACAGCCATGTACAGGTTTATATTCCATATAATCTTACTTCTATCCCCTTTTTTTTTTTACTTCTATCCCTTTTGTTACCATGTATGCTTACACCCTGCATGTTATATGGCCTTTACATTCCTATTCTACAGTGTTGTATGTAACTGTAGGCCATTTAGGCAGTTCGCCATTTATGCCTGTTATTCTCTATGGGGAAATACGGCACCCACTAGGCTGCAGTCCAAACACGTTATTTTTACCCCCTCCGCCCTTGGTCTAGCAACTTTCCCTCGGGGGAATCTCAGTTGAAACCGGATGCAGTTTGAATGCCATCTTAAGTGGAGGTCCAATTTACAAACGTTGCCCCCTCGGCCCTCGTTTTAGCTCGACAGAGCGAGTGAAGAACTTTGGTCACTTGCAGGGTTGATATGACCCACAATTCAATGCAAACTGTAGTCACGTCAAACTCTGGTGGCCACAAAGTTTTACATTTAATTAATAAGGCTGCATTTTCGGCATGTCAGAAAAAAATATGAAGCTAGCTTGCTAAAAAAATATATAGACATTGATTTTAGCTTTAGAAAATTGGCTTAGTCTCGTAGTGAGGAGCCTATAAAACGCAGCTAGATTCATAAAACATATTTTTGGGAATTCTGAAATGTATTGGAATAAACTACCAAACAATAAACTAGATACAGTGAGGGGAAAAAGTATTTGATCCCCTGCTGATTTTGTACGTTTGCCCACTGACAAAGAAATTATCAGTCTATAATTTTAATGGTAGGTTTATTTGAACAGTGAGAGACAGAATAACAACAAAAAAATCCAGAAAAACGCATGTCAAAAATGTTATAAATTGATTTCATTTTAATGAGGGAAATAAGTATTTGACCCCCTCTCAATCAGAAAGATTTCTGGCTCCCAGGTGTCTTTTATACAGGTAACGAGCTGAGATTAGGAGCACACTCTTAAAGGGAGTGCTCCTAATCTCAGCTTGTTACCTGTATAAAAGACACCTGTCCACAGAAGCAATCAATCAATCAGATTCCAAACTCTCCACCATGGCCAAGACCAAAGAGCTCTCCAAGGATGTCAGGGACAAGATTGTAGACCTACACAAGGCTGGAATGGGCTACAAGACCATCGCCAAGCAGCTTGGTGAGAAGGTGACAGTAGTTGGTGCGATTATTCGCAAATGGAAGAAACACAAAAGAACTGTCACTCTCCCTCGGCCTGGGGCTCCATGCAAGATCTCACCTCGTGGAGTTGCAATGATCATGAGAACGGTGAGGAATCAGCCCAGAACTACACGGGAGGATCTTGTCAATGATCTCAAGGCAGCTGGGACCATAGTCACCAAGAAAACAATTGGTAACACACTACGCCGTGAAGGACTGAAATCCTGCAGCGCCCGCAAGGTCCCCCTGCTCAAGAAAGCACATATACAGGCCCGTCTGAAGTATGCCAATGAACATCTGAATGATTCAGAGGAGAACTGGGTGAAAGTGTTGTGGTCAGATGAGACCAGAATCGAGCTCTTTGGCATCAACTCAACTCGCTGTGTTTGGAGGAGGAGGAATGCTGCCTATGACCCAAAGAACACCATACCCACCGTCAAACATGGAGGTGGAAACATTATGCTTTGGAGACAGGACATCTTCACCGCATCAAAGGGACGAAGGACGGGGCAAGGCAACAAAGGAGTGGCTCAAGAAGAAGCACATTAAGGTCCTGGAGTGGCCTAGCCAGTCTCCAGACCTTAATCCCATTGAAAATCTGTGGAGGGAGCTGAAGGTTAGAGTTGCCAAACGTCAGGCTCGAAACCTTAATGACTTGGAGAAGATCTGCAAAGAGGAGTGGGACAAAATCCCTCCTGAGATGTGTGCAAACCTGGTGGCCAACTACAAGAAACGTCTGACCTCTGTGATTGCCAACAAGGGTTTTGCCACCAAGTACTAAGTCATGTTTTGCAGAGGGGTCAAATACTTATTTCCCTCATTAAAATGCTAATCAATTTATAAAATTTTTGACATGCGTTTTTCTAGATTTTTTTATTTTGTTATTCTGTCTCTCACTGTTCAAATAAACCTACCATTAAAATTATAGACTGATCATGTCTTTGTCAATGGGCAAACGTACAAAATCAGCAGGGGATCAAATACTTTTTTCCCTCACTGTATATTTAAAAAATTTACAGGGCTCGCCTGCAGCCAAGTGGCACAGTTTATTATTGCAACCAATATATGCATATTGTTTACATGTGTAACACCTATTAGGTATATATCCCAGCCACGTATTATGTATGCATATTCTTAGGTATTCTTGCCATTATGTTTATGTATACATTCCTTATTACTATTTATGCATATTATTTTCTGTATGTTTATGCATATTTCCCCTGCTTATTTACTATTGTATACCTATGTCATAATATTTTATCTAGTGAATCCTTATATATTACTAATATTGTATTATCATTCCCTTTCTCTAGTAGAAACCACACACACACACATCTTTAGTACTACATATACACCATTATTCTGGTTACTGTGGAATTAAAGTGTTCAGTGAATCAACGGGCTTGCATCGTCTTTTTGACCGAAGACACATGGCTAGGGTCGCACTCCCAGCGCATTATGCATAGTATTCTACAAGCTATGCTGACTGGCAAACATCCACAGCTAAGTTAGTTAGCTAGCTATCATCTTTCAAGCTAACTATGGAAAACTGCTCATGCGAATATAAATCGGGGACAGTTTGGTTGTTTCCACCATGTCTGCATACCGGACTACCATCTTGATGACTGTCTGCATAGTTCACCAGAGATGAGTTCGCAAAGTTAAAGAATTACATCTGCCCAGTCCACAGCGAGCGGCCAACTGCGAACAGCTCTGACAAACAGCTGGCTAGTTCGTTTATTTTGCGAGAACCACCCAAACTTCGACCTCGCTTCTAGCTTGCCGCCAGCTTTATCCTTGTGGTACATGTTAAACAGTATACCTGTATGAGCTGGCTCAGTTTCTCACCTGATAAAAAATACATAGTTCTGTTGTTTCCTAAAAAGTGCTTTTTCCTGCCCCCATTACTTACTGTTCCTAGATTTGTTTTGGTGAATAGATTCAACTGTTTGTAGCCGTGGCCCACGGAAAAGGAAAGCACTCACACGAATGGCTTGAAAATACAAAAAATCTGAGACTGTGCATGAGTCACACAGTGCGAGCAAATGTGTACAGCAACAACAATTACAATGTAAAACAATGTGGAGAATGGGAAAGAAACGAAGCAGGACATTATAGGGAAAAAACAAAGTGTGTTAACCAAGAAACTGAACGCTTAAAGACATCACAAATACATAAGCTGTTAAAGGGATACTTCGGGGTTTTGGCATTGAGGCCCTTTATCTACTCCCCCATGGATACCATTTTTATGTCTCTGCGTGCAATTTGAATGAAGAACTGCCAACTAGCGTTGGAGCAATGACTGGAAATGTATGGGCTCACGAAACTACCTCTAACTTCCTTCATACTGGACACAGAGACATAAACATGGTATCCACAAATTAATCTGACTCTGGGGAAGTAGATTGCCAAAATCCCTAAGTGTCCTTTTAATGAGGCCTAACTCCCTAGACCAAGTTCAAAGCCAGTGTCGGAGGACAGACTTTTCATTAGTAACTGTGAACCTACAAAAGAGGGGACAGAGATAGGTAGGGGTCGGAAAGAAGGGGGAGGGGATGGGGGCAGTTCAAAACCCTCTGCTCCCCACATTGTCAAGTCAAGTAGCCACGTTTCTTGGTCTCAAAACCCCAAAGCAAAAACAACGCTAGAGGGGTTTGCTTTTTTGAAGTGATGGAGAGGAGCAGAAAGTTTCAGTTTTCATAAACGGTCAGGACAGGCAGAAACTCAGCCAAGGGTACAAGAAAGGAACGAGGGGGATTCTGCATAAAGAATGAGGGGCATGAGAGAAGGTGGGAACGGAGAGGAGGAATGCTCTTAAGTGAGGAAAGGAGAAGAGAAAGGTGACAGCACTTTACCTGCTGGAGAATGAAGGTTTTCATAGCGGCAAGGATGAGGGTAACGTATTACAAAAGCAGCACAGAGACACGGCAGTAACCCAGTCCAGCGCTGATATAGATGGGGGCTATCCCCTCACAGATCTAGGCCTCTCCTAACAATCTCATTAGTCACTGGTTATCTGTTTCAAATATGGCCGTATATTAAGCCATGATAAACCATCTACTGTACACATCTTGAAGGAAATGCTCTAAATATCTAAATACTAGCTCTGGTCTCAGGAAAGGAATCACTAATCGCATTTAGTAGGCACCATTGAGCGAAAACGTTTTGAAATGGCTGAGATACTACCTGAACGTGCCTACTCAACACAACCCAGATGTGGCCATTTCCAACAAGTTAGCATCCTTCTATCCTGAGGATCGAGCAAGTAGATGAAGTCCCCTCTAGGAATCTAAATTGAAACAATTTTTCAAGATAATTCAGCTTCAACTGAGAGCTGAGAACATAATCAACGTATGTGTCCTTTATTCTTAATGAGCGTTGAAAACAGTTAAAATAAGATCTGTGGCTCCGCTTCCCTCTGCTCTGGGCTTTGATGAATTTCCCTCTCATGCACATACCATCTTATTTGGTCGAGTGAACCCTAAAACAATTTCCTACTCTAAAGCTCTAATTTCCAACATTTGATCCTTACGAAAGTCTGAAACAGAAACAAGCTGTGCATCAAGTCTTCTATCATAACACGGCAGATCTGACTCCTAAGACCACATGGTTAAAAACTAAAAACACTTTTGGACAAAATGAAATGACAGCAAATAAAGACAGAAATCTCACAAATAGGACTGTTTTGTCTTATTTTATAAATCAGCAATAAATATGAAATTAAACAAACATTCATATTTGTGAGGGCTGGACTTCTCAATTGCCAAATGAAACTAGCTAACTCAAGCACTGACTATATTTGCCCCGAGGTAAGCAAGAGCTGTTGTGAATCCACTGAACCCCAAGTCGTTACAGTTGCTATTTCTGTGTGTCAGCGTTGCGTTTGTCGTGAAGCTGAGTTACTGCCGTGTCGAGTACAGACCTAGAATCAATAGATGGGGTAATTACCAAATTCCTCCAGGACAAAGACTCCCTTCACAGTATTGCACTTTTTAATGTGATTCAGCTCTATGAAAACCTAAAACAAAAAAACAAACAAAAACAACAAGACAGAACATTAGCAACTCAATGACAGGCTGAAATTAAACATTTCAGATAGAAAATGAACAACATTAAATTCTCATCTAGTCAATACTAAAAGGGAAAAAAAGACAGAAGATGGTATGCAAGCTTTTAAACGCTACCAAAAAGAAATACGACAGCACAAAACAGAAGTTTCCATGTTTGAATGCTTACATGGGCTGGGGTTAGGTGAGTAGAACTGCATTGTGGAAAGGTCTATGAAGTGAGTGCTATTAATGATTACTTGCTGAATGAAACTATAAAATGGCAATTTGTTCGCACTATAGTGCCTTAGCTAGTGTGCATCAGCAAAGCTATTGTGGCCATTTGTTGTCAACAGTGAAGCAAATAACTCTACCCACATGTACATATTGCCTCAACTGCCTCAACTGGCCGGTGCCCCCGCACATTGACTATGCAACGGTACCCCCCTGTATATATAGCCTCCCTACTGTCACTTTATTCTATTGTATATATAGCCTCCCTACTGTCACTTTATTTTTTACTTCTGCTCTTTTTTTCTCAACACTTTTTTGTTGTTGTTTTATTCTTACTTTTTTGTTTAAAATAAATGCACTGTTGGTTAAGGGCTGTAAGTAAGCATTTCACTGTAATGTCTACACCTGTTGTATTCGGCGCATGTGACCAATAAAATTTGATTTGATTTGATTTGATTTGACTGCTAATTAATTTCTGTTTTCCCTACTAATGCAAATGCACTGTGGCCCATGTAATGCTTAGCATACATGGAAATTCCATATGAAAACAGAGATGAGGACACATAAAATTAAGTTTGCCACACACAGCTAATAGAGAATTGAGGAAAAAGAACCCAACCAAAAAATGTCATAATCGCTAACAAGCAAACACAGCAGAGGTTGTATACCTTCCGCTCCTTGCAGGTGGAGAGAGCATGGAAGAGAAACGGTTTGGATTATTATCGGACAGAACAGCACAAACACTGGACGGCGCTCAAAGAGGGCGCTGCACTATCCCCCAAAAACAATCAACCTAATGGACCGGACTTGACGTATTAACAGCTATCAATGCCAATACAATATACCCATCACAGAAAATTCTACTGGAAGTGCTAAACTAAACTACGAAAGGTGGAAAGATAACTACTGAAAGTTGGTCTAGTCTATACTTTTAACAGCTGGACTTGTTTTGGTTTGATCCTGGGCCTAACCCAGAAAATGACATAATTACTACCAGTTTACCAAGAGTATGGTTGTAATTACATAATGTCAACCAGTTTTGACCGCTGGGAACCCACTCCCGCCCCCAATGCCCTCCATGCCCCTTCCTCCTGCAACGAGGGCTGGCACCAACAGCTCAGTAGTACAGGTACAAGAGGGCAGTCCGCCACATCGCCTCCCCAACAAAACAGGCTGCCACCTATAACAACCTCACCACTCTAACATCTAACATGCCCACGTATTTAACCCTACGGTGACCCATGTCTGACACTGGAAGCATGGGTGGGCCTGCACTGGCAAAATGTAATGGGTTGGCATTAACTATTATATGAAAAAGTTATTTACAACAAGACAGTTAAGTGTTTTTATTTTTATTGCATGAATGAAGTCTATGGATATGACATCTACTACTGGTGCATACGCTCCTGTAGAGCTGACGGTGGAAAACTAGGTGGTTTGAATTTGCCAAGCAGCATCTCAATGAGAGCTATGACCATTATCGTACAAACGTATGTGTTGTTCCTAAAAGGTAAGTTAGGCTAAGTGTCTGTAGTAGGGAAAGGGTTTTACAACCTTATGACTCTTGTACCCTTGTTCAATTCTATATGATGATGATGATGATGATGATGATGTAACTGTTCTTCAACCATAGCAATGTGTTCTAACCTGTTAGGTGGCTCAAATTAGACCAATGTGTTGAGGTATTGCATCAAAAAGAAGGCACAATCAAATACACTCTCGATTGGCCACTGCAACGTCTAGCCTTAATTCCTTTCAACTAGGTGCGCTGTGTGATCTATAGAAATCAAGAAAGCAGTTCAAAGAGCTAGGACCTTTCATAAAGAATGTAGTGGTCAAAAACATTGTTTTCAATTCTACTACAATTTAGTATTACCTTATGAGTAGGCATTCCGCTGTGTTGATTCAATGCGTTTTTGCCCCAATCCTACAGTGTGATATGTCCAGTGTGTTTCTTCACTTTGCTTATATTAAATGAGTGCCACTCCTATGACCCTCAATCATTGGCGGAGCAATTGTATAATTTTATTTCAGATCCAAGCATTTCCTTTGGGTCCAAAAATATCTACTTGTGACAGTGGTAAGGACTGAGGTCAATTATATTCTTACTCAAGTTGATTCAGGAAATGGAATTGCCCCAACCCCAAAAGTTGTGAATACTTGAAGAGGTATTTTTCATCTAACTTTAATATGCAGGTCAAGGGATTTTAAGGGGACAAAAATTTAAAGAACTGTAAAATAAAATGACAATTATTAATGAAAAGTCTTTGCAAAAGGTCATCTGTCTTACCTCAGATGCACAAATCTCTCTTACACAAACAGAACATTCACCTTCCCCCACACACACACAAACAGACGACAAGGTTTGGGCAACACAATTAAGAATGCTAAGTATTAACAGAAATATTTAAGTGGATATGTGTTTTCATCTTGAAACACACATCTTAGTGACTGCACAAATAAAACATAACATCTTCTAAATCATAGAAAGACAAAGCACAAAAATGTGTTCTTCCTCTAGGGTCCTGATCAAAACTGTGACTGAAGTAACTTCAAAATGTACTCTGCTTTTGCACTCAATTCAGTAGGCTATAAAATATTTATCAATGTCAAAGATAAACAACCCTAAATGCCTTCGATTCTCTTTTTTTTAAAGGGACCTTAGAGGAAGTCAGCCACAGTTGTGTGAGAGAGAAAGAAAACAGAAGAAGAATTGAGGTGGGTGGAACGAGGTTAAGAGGTTTTGCGTGTGTGTGTGTATATATACAGTGAGGGAAAAAAGTATTTGATCCCCTGCTGATTTTGTACGTTTGCCCACTGACAAAGACATGATCAGTCTATAATTTTAATGGTAGGTTTATTTGAACAGTGAGAGACAGAATAACAATCCAGAAAAACACATGTCAAAAATGTTATAAATTGATTTGCATTTTAATGAGGAAAATAAGTATTTGACCCCTCTGCAAAACATGACTTAGTACTTGGTGGCAAAACCCTTGTTGGCAATCACAGAGGTCAGACGTTTCTTGTAGTTGGCCACCAGGTTTACACACATCTCAGGAGGGATTTTGTTCCACTCCTCTATGCAGATCTTCTCCAAGTCATTAAGGTTTCGAGGCTGACGTTTGGCAACTCGAACCTTCAGCTCCCTCCACAGATTTTCTATGGGATTAAGGTCTGGAGACTGGCTAGGCCACTCCAGGACCTTAATGTGCTTCTTCTTGAGCCACTCCTTGTGTTTTGGGTCATTGTCATGCTGGAATACCCATCCATGACCCATTTTCAATGCCCTGGCTGAGGGAAAGAGGTTCTCACCCAAGATTTGACAGTACATGGCCCCGTCCATCGTCCCTTTGGAGCGGTGAAGTTGTCCTGTCCCCTTAACAGAAAAACACCCCCAAAGCATAATGTTTCCAACTCCATGTTTGACGGTGGGGATGGTGTTCTTGGGGTCATAGGCAGCATTCCTCCTCCTCCAAACACAGCAAGTTGAGTTGATGCCAAAAAGCTCCATTTTGGTCTCATCTGACCACAACACTTTCACCCAGTTATCCTCTGAATCATTCAGATGTTCATTGGCAAACTTCAGACGGGCCTGTATATGTGCTTTCTTGAGCAGGGGGACCTTGCGGGCGCTGCAGGATTTCAGTCCTTCACAACGTAGTGGGTTACCAATTGTTTTCTTGGTGACTAAGGTCCCAGCTGCCTTGAGATCATTGACAAGATCCTCCTGTGTAGTTCTGGTCTGATTCCTCACCGTTCTCATGATCATTGCAACTCCACAAGGTGAGATCTTGCATGGAGCCCCAGGCCGAGGGAGATTGACAGTGTTTTTGTGTTTCTTCCATTTGCGAATAATCGCACCAACTGTTGTCACCTTCTCACCAAGCTGCTTAGCGATGGTCTTGTAGCCCATTCCAGCCTTGTGTAGGTCTACAATCTTGTCCCTGACATCCTTGGAGAGCTCTTTGGTCTTGGCCATGGTGAAGAGTTTGGAATCTGATTGATTGGTTGCTTCTGTGGACAGGTGTCTTTTATACAGGTAACAAACTGAGATTAGGAGCACTCCCTTTAAGAGTGTGCTCCTAATCTCAGCTCATTACCTGTATAAAAGACACCTGGGAGCCAGAAATCTTTCTGATTGAGAGGGGGTCAAATACTTATTTCCCTCATTAAAATGCAAATCAATTTATAACATTTTTGACATGCGTTTTTCTGGATTTTGTTGTTGTTATTCTGTCTCTCATTGTTCAAATAAACCTACCATTAAAATTATAGACTGATCATTTCTTTGTCAGTGGGCAAACATACAAAATCAGCAGGGGATCAAATACTTTTTTCCCTCACTGTATATATATATGTATATGTATATGTATATGTGTGTATATGGTAATACAGGCCTCCTACCTGGCTGTGCATGAATTTGAGGTTGATGCCTTCCAGGGTAACTTGCAGCAGTCCTCCCTCGCCTGTCTTCATGTCCTGCACAGGGAACTCTCCACCCAGCTCTGGACCTATGGAGAGAGGGGCAGATCACTTAAACCAAAGGATCCCTCTCCTATCCATTCCGCTGTACATCTCTTTCGAAAAGTGTTAGTAATGACAGATAGAAAAGTCTTTACTTGGCCAACTGAGCTGATTGACTCAAATGGTTAAAGAATTTATTGGACAATAAAGCAGTAGTCTAGAGCTCACCTTCACTCAGTTATTCCAACACCCAAAAGTTATACTTTTCCATAGACTATGAACTATTACTAACTGCTATTAGCCCCTAGGGCAGTGGTATTCAAACTTCTTCATCGGGGACCCCATTTTTTTTGCCAAATGTGACGACGCAACCTTAAAATCGGTACATTTCCATTTTCACATGAACAAATAACCTTCAATTCATTACATTTTCATTTATCTTATCAAAATGAAAAGAAACCAATAAATACATTTACACAATAACATTTATTTTCCAAATTATCTTTCTCAAAAACGTTTGTATATTGTCCCATACAATAATCTGTACTCTTAATTTTTTATATTTGTATTTTTATTTTTTGCCAACACCACTGCAATTCCTCCACACCCCCACTAGGGGTCAGGACCCAGAATACCACTGCCCTAGGGCTATACATTTTCAAAAAAGCAGGGCAAGAATACATTGGTGCTGCCTCAAAGAAAGAGAGTCCAGCCAATGTGCACACACACATACCTGGTTTAATGCTCTGCTGTCGTGCAGCAGCCCTTTCCATGCTGTCCTTCACACAGTAATACAATTCGCGACACTAGACAACAAAACATTTGAATTCAGATTATGGACTATGGAATACGAAAAGTGGCTATAGAAAGTCTGACACGAAAGTCACAACACGGATATCATGGTGTTCATAATTGCTAGTCGCATTCCAGTACTCAAAGCGTGGACGATAGCGGCTCACCTTCTTGGTGTAGAACTTGTTGAGTTGGGTCTCCTGGCCATTGCGTCTCCACAGACACAGCACCTTGGTCTTGGGGCAATAGGTCATGTTAATGAGCTTCTCGTACCACCAGCGCTCATACACTGTGCCGATGTTGCTGCGCAGGACTATGCAGTCGTCACACACCTGAATGGGGGAAATGGACAGAGGCAAAAGATGTAATTACTTGACATCCACATCTACTGAAACTACAAATTGCAGAGTTTTGACAGTTCTTGACAGTTCTTGACAGTTCTTGACAATGATCAGCAAATGTAATCTATTCAGATACTATTGTCAGGCCTTCATGCATCTCTGGGGCACAATAAAACAAATATGAACAAGGCCTATGTACAAGGAAGGTCCGGGAAAGTGAATGCTGAAAGTGTCTTTCTCATACCTCCATGAAGAAGATGTCCCCTGTGGTATCTGTCCCAGCATGCACCACGAAGGTCTGCTTCTTGATGTGACGGCTTCCGCTAGGTCTGATGGACAGCTCGCGGCCATTCTGAAATTTAAGTGAACAAGACTTTAACCCTTCTCCTACAATTTCTGCGTCCCCATGGAAATCTAATTAACATAATAAATACATCCCCATCAAAATGCGTCTGTTTAAGCTAGAGTTTTTTTTTGCATGGGCTGCGTCTCAATCCACCACATCCACGAGATCACTCTTCCACATCTGTGGTGAAAGGTGGCAGAATTAGAAGAACGGTGTTTGTCAGACCATGAGACATCTCGAAAATCGGTCTGGCCTATAAAACTATTATGACCCCTCTGGGGAAAGAAGACTCTCACGAACACGATGGTGTTCTCCGTTTTGCTCTACGAAGTTGGTACAGCCTCTTCTGCCAACTTCTGTCTGTAGCCTCCGAACAGTTTTGGCTACACAGTAATATGACCCCTCTGTGGAAATCTCTCACGAACACGTACATGTCGGTTGTTTTGCTCTAGGATGCCCACAAGCCTCACAACACTCATCTGAAGGTCCCCGGTACCAGTTTAAAAAATCAATGGAAGTATATATGGAGACTGTTTAGTGCCTAAAATAAGGGGTTAAATACATGTAAAATTTTTTAAAAAAAAAGATCTTTCTTATATCTCTCAGATATAGGACAGAACTTCATTTTGATTTTTTGGGGGGGATTGTTGTTCCATGTAAATAATAAAAAATAATAATATGCCATTTAGCAGACGCTTTTATCCAAAGCGACTTACAGTCATGCGTGCATACATTTTTGTGTATGGGTGGTCCCGGGGATCGAACCCACTACCTTGGCGTTACAAGCGCCGTGCTCTACCAGCTGTTATTCAGTGCTTTTCTATGGGCTAAAAGCAGTAATGCCAAATCAAATGTTTCATCCCTGGCTTAGACTCTAGATGGTTAAACAGAGATACTGTATCAGCAACACTGATATTCTCACACACACTAAAAACATGTGTTGCATAAAAGGATCTGGCTCGAAGGACCACATAAAACGTTGCCTCTTTATGCCACTTGGTAGAACAGTTGACCGCCTTAGTGGCTCCTATTTTATTGAAGAGAGAGAATCCTTGGTTCTTTCTTACCAAATTAGCCAGTTTGTCCAGACACTCGTTGATCTCCTGGCTGTGGCTGAGGCCGATGTGGGACTTCCCCATCAGACGCCTCACCTTCTTCCTGATGTCATTCTTGTTCAACTGGACAGACAGAGACAGACAGACAATCTTAGCAAGAGACATTGGAAGATATGCAATGCCTACTTATCTGAACATTTGTAGTTGCTGCAGTTGACATACAGGGGTTACGGAGTGAAACGTGCGTGTGTGTGTGTGCATGTGTGATAGGCCCACCTTAACCATTAGCATGTAGGCGATCATATTGTGCAGTAGAGTAGCTAGCAGCCTGTCCTCATCGTCCTCCAGGCGCTTACGGTCGTGGTCCCCGAGTGACAGGTATCTGTGTAAACAGTGGTAACCATCAGCCTCTAAACAGGAAACACAGCTATACAAGGATGGCTGTCAATGGGCATTTCAAAATACAGATCCACTCTAATAGGCAACCAGTACCTGTCAATCATCTCCTGAGGTCCCTGGTCCATGCCCATCCCCTCCCTCTCCAACATGACAGCATCCAAGTAAGCATCCTCCCAGAACTGGACCTGGTCCCACAGTGTAGAGCGCTCCTTACCTACACAAATACAACACACACTGCTTATCTGTGTCCAAAGGACACACACTTACACAAACACATCATGACCACAATCACAAAGGCACACAAAAACACAAAACTAGTGTTCAAAATCCTCAATAGGTCAAAATCACCTTCACACTGACAACTACATGTCACCCCACATTCACCAGTAACTATGCATAAACATACAAACACATGATCCCACAGAACCTTACATAACTGCACACACACAAACACCCACAAACGAACGCACACATCTATACGAACACACACAAACACACCCACACACCTGACCATATGATTGTTGAAACATATTTTGTAAACCAAGAACCAAGAGACATGTTCTCTTGTTAACTTGAAGATAGGAGTGTTGCTACATTGTTTACAATACAAACCACTCAGTGAGATGGGAAATCCAGTGGCGGTAAAGATCAAAGCAGCACATCAAAAGCACCAGACAATACACAAGTGAGCAACAGAGCCCAGGTCTGCATTGCATCCAAGCACAAACATAGAAGGTCAAAAGGTGAAAGAGGTCAGCCCTACTCAGAGAGAAGGTTTCCATGGCAGCATCCTCCAGCTGGTCCCACATGGAGCTCTTGTCGCGCCCTGCATGGCGTTCCCGGGACACGCAGCAGGGAGGAAGAGGAGCAGCAGAGCAAAGAGGGTTAAGCTCAGAGCTGAGTGGGTTAATGGCAAGCCAAGAGCAGAGAGAGAGAGAGAGAGAGACCACAGGAAGCGTGAAAGGACAAATAAAATCGACCCAACCTCACTCACTTCAGACCTACCTTCACGCTTTATACTACAGTTCATGCAGTGTTAGTTAGTCAAATAGTGAAAAAGAGTTTTAGAGAAAGAGTTTGACGAATGAGAGAGATATATACACTGGGAAGGGAACACTTAAACAACACATCCTAGATCTGAATGAATGAAATAATCTTATTAAATACTTTTTTCTTTACATAGTTGAATGTGCTGACAACAAAATCACACAAAAATTATCAATGGAAATCAAATTTATCAACCCATGGAGGTCTGGATTTGGACTCACCCTCAAAATTAAAGTGGAAAACCACACTACAGGCTGATCCAACTTTGATGTAATGTCCTTAAAACAAGTCAAAATGAGGCTCAGTAGTGTGTGTGGCCTCCACGTGCCTGTATGACCTCCCTACAACGCCTGGGCATGCTCCTGATGAGGTAGCGGATGGTCTCCTGAGGGATCTCCTCCCAGACCTGGACTAAAGCATCCGCCAACTCCTGGACAGTCTGTGGTGCAACGTGGTGTTGGTGGATGGAGCGAGACATGATGTCCCAGATGTGCTCAATTGGATTCAGGTCTGGGGAACAGGCGGGCCAGTCCATAGCATCAATGCCTTCCTCTTGCAGGAACTGCTGACACACTCCAGCCACATGAGGTCTAGCATTGTCTTGCATTAGGAGGAACCCAGGGCCAACCGCACCAGCATATGGTCTCACAAGGGGTCTGAGGATCTCATCTCGGTACCTAATGGCAGTCAGGCTACCTCTGGCGAGCACATGGAGGGCTGTGCGGCCCCCCAAAGAAATGCCACCCCACACCATGACTGACCCACCGCCAAACCGGTCATGCTGGAGGATGTTGCAGGCAGCAGAACGTTCTCCACGGCGTCTCCAGACTCTGTCACGTCTGTCACATGTGCTCAGTGTGAACATGCTTTCATCTGTGAAGAGCACAGGGCGCCAGTGGCGAATTTGCCAATCTTGGTGTTCTCTGGCAAATGCCAAACGTCCTGCACGGTGTTGGGCTGTAAGCACAACCCCCACCTGTGGACGTCGGGCCCTCATACCACCCTCATGGAGTCTGTTTCTGACCGTTTGAGCAGACACATGCACATTTGTGGCCTGCTGGAGGTCATTTTGCAGGGCTCTGGCAGTGCTCCTCCTGCTCCTCCTTGCACAAAGGCGGAGGTAGCGGTCCTGCTGCTGGGTTGTTGCCCTCCTATGGCCTCCTCCACGTCTCCTGATGTACTGGCCTGTCTCCTGGTAGCACCTCCATGCACTGGACACTACGCTGACAGACACAGCAAACCTTCTTGCAACAGCTCGCATTGATGTGCCATCCTGGATGAGCTGCACTATCTGAGCCACTTGTGTGGGTTGTAGACTCCGTCTCATGCTACCACTAGAGTGAAAGCACCGCCAGCATTCAAAAGTGACCAAAACATCAGCCAGGAAGCATAGGAACTGAGAAGTGGTCTGTGGTCACCACCTGCAGAACCACTTCTTTATTGGGGGTGTCTTGCTACTTGCCTATAATTTCCACCTGTTGTCTATTCCATTTGCACAACAGCATGTGAAATTTATTGTCAATCAGTGTTGCTTCTTAAGTGGACAGTTTGATTTCACAGAAGTGTGATTGACTTGGAGTTACATTGTGTTGTTTAAGTGTTCCCTTTATTTTTTTGAGCAGTGTATATATAGATATATACACAGTACCTGTCAAAAGTCTGGACACCTACTAATTCCAGGGTTTTTCTTTAGTTTTACTATTTTCTACATTGTAGAATAATAGTGAAGACATCAAAACTATGAAATAACACATATGGAATCATGTAGTAAGCAAAAAAGTGTTAAACAAATCTAAATATATTTTATATTTGAGATTCTTCAAAGTAGCCACCCTTTGCCTTGATGACAGCTTTGCACACTCTTGGCATTCTCTCAATCAGCTTAATGAGGTAGTCACCTGGAATGCATTTCAATTAACAGGTGTGCCTTCTTAAAAGTTAATTTGTGGAATTTCCTTCCTTAATGCGTTTGAGCCAATCAGTTGTGTTGTGACAAGGTAGGGCAGGTATACAGAAGATCAAGTCCATATTATGGCAAGAACAGCTCAAATAAGCAAAGATAAATGCCAGTCCATCATTACTTTAAGACATGAAGGTCAGTCAATGTAGAACATTTCAAGAACTTCGAAAGTTTCTTCAAGTGAAGTCGCAAAACATGAAACTTGCTCTCATGAGGACCGCCACAGGAAATGAATACCCAGAGTTACCTCCCTGCAGAGGATAAGTTCATTAGAGTTACCAGCCTCAGAAATTGCAGCTCAAATAAATGCTTCACAGAGTTCAAGTAACAGACATCTCAACATCAACTGTTCAGAGGAGACTGCGTGAATCAGGCCTTCATGGTCAAATTGCTGCAAAGAAACCACTACTAAAGGACACCAATAAGAAGAAGAGACTTGCTTGGGCCAAGAAACACGAGCAATGGACATTAGACCGATGGAAATCTGTCCTTTGGTCTGATGAGTCCAAACTTGAGATTTTTGGTTCCAACCGTCGTGTCTTTGTCAGATGCAGAGTAGGTGAACGGATGATCTCCACAAGTGTGGTTCCCACAGTGAAGCATGGAGCAGGAGGTGTGATGGTGCTTTGCTGGTGACACTGTCTGTGATTTATGTAGAATTCAAGGCACACTTAACCAGCATGGCTACCACAGCATTCTGCAGCGATACGCCATCCCATCTGGTTTGCGCTTAGTGGAACTGTCATTTGTTTTTCAACAGGACAATGACCCAACACACCTACAGGCTGTGTAAGGGCTATTTGACCAAGAAGGAGAGTGATGGAGTTCTGTATCCACAGTCAACCCAATTGAGATGGTTTGGGATGAGTTGGACCGCAGAGTGAAGGAAAAGCAGCCAACAAGTGCTCAGCATATGTGGGAACTCTTTCAAGACTGTTGGAAAAGCATTCCAGGTAAAGCTGATTGAGAGAATGCCAAGAGTGTGCAAAGCTGTCATCAAGGCAAAGGGTGGCAACTTTGAAGAATTTGTTTAACACTTTTTTGGTTACTACATGATTCCATATGTGTTATTTCATAGTTTTGATGTCTTCACTATTATTCTACAATGTAGAAAATAGTAAAAATAAAGAAAAGCCCTTGAATGAGTAGGTGTGTCCAAACTTTTGACTGGTACTGTATATCTGTGTTTTGCCTTATAAGAAGGATTCACTTTAAAGGTAGACTCAGCGAGACAACGTTACAACGAGCAGCATCGCAGATATGAGATGAGCACGATGCAAGACAGCGGAGACGTTTAGCCTCGCACTTCAACGCTCTTAGATGTTGCTGAAATTTACCTGATATTGTGTTTACTTTGTGCATGCAACATCTCGCTGAGTCTGCTAGATATTTACTGTTGCTTTTTACCACAAAGTTGAACAGAGGGAGACTAAAGAAGACACTGTAGAAGATATTAAACCACAGCCTTTCTAAAACATCAGTCATCTGGAACGTACCCAGCAGGCCATCACATAGGTAAATCCTCATGCTGATGTCCTCCAAGGGCTGGGCGGGAGGCCCCTTAGCCACGACAGGCACAAGTTTAGACTTCGTCTCCTTCACACCAGGCTTCATCTTTTGGGTCTTACCCTGGGCAAACACAACAAAACATAAATCATGGGGTAATTTAATCTTGCCAAAGATTTTTGAAAATTGGATTTGTCCCTGCATTTACAAGATTGACATCCATGGGCAGACTTCATGTCCCGCAGGGAATGCATTTGTGCATCTAGAAAACGCCCCAAAAAAATCAAGCAGTGTGATCAGCCAGGCAGGATTTTCTACTCACAAACACTGAGCTGGTGGCCGGGTTGGTCTCAATCTCGCTGTCGGACAGTGTTCCCCTGGAGAGGTTGAGGTGGGGGGCTTGCCTGCCACCCAAGCCCTCCCCAGCGGTGCTACTCAAGTCACTGTCAGCTCCCAGCGTCTCCCCTGAGCTGTTACTTATCTGGAGGGGTCAGGGGTCAAAGTGTCAGGAGACTAGTGAATATCAGGCATACTAAGACACAGAGAACTCACACTAAAAGACACACAGGATGCATTAGACCAAGGCCAAAAGAGACGAGTTAGATCAGTAATCCTCAACCCTGCCCTTGGAGAGCTGCCACACTACAGGTTGTTTTGAGGATCACTGAGTTACACTAAGGCTAAGAGACACTGGGGATGAGGTAGATTAGTATGACACGTACGGTTTTGGCAAGAGCCATTGTGCCAGGCTGAGACAAAGCAAGACAAGAGATGAGTAGGACTAGTTAGCAAATACTAGAAATTAATCAAGCTCGGAATATAGTAAGATTGGGAAGCAACCTGGTTTGGGATAAGTGTTACTGGGGATGTATGGCTTGAGCTTAAGTGAGTCTGTGGAACCTTGAGTGTAAACCTTGTAAGACTAGACTAAGGATAAAAATTGCGCTTTGGGAGTAAGCGGGCCTTGGGATGAGCCACACTGAGGTAAGGTTGAGAAGGGTTTAGGATTGGGGTGAGATTGTTTCTCTGTGTTGGCCGTGCCCTACCACTGTGCTGGCCTCTGAGTCCTGGCTGGTGCTTCTGGTAAGGACTGGCGGTTCAGTGCTGGTCACGGACTCGGTGTCACTCTTCTGCAAAGCAAGACCGAGAAAGACTGAGAAAGAGAAAGGTGAGCAGACAGAGGCATATAGAAACAGTGGAAATGAACTTCTTCTCAAGGGCCGTAGTGACTCCAGTGTTTTGTAATCTCCTTAATACTAATTCACAAGTCCATGCCATCAATATCCAAACACTCAGTCTACAACCCTGGTTTCCCAGGTCTATATCAGACTCAGATTAAAATGCAAGAATGAGAACCAGCAGACATTGTGACTCTCAAGCGCCAGAGTTGGGGGATAACCGATGTGAAACAAGTGTCAGATTCCACGTGTGCATTCTTTGCTTAGTTACAAGAGCTGGCTTTGGAAAAGAACAGACCTGGGATCCGGAGTTGACGCCGAGGCCACTGTCAGCACTGATCTGGGACTTCTTCTCCTCCGTGTCAGTCAGCTCAGGGTGCTGTTTCTTAGCCCCCTCCGCTCCTGCAGGATACATGTTGTTGTCAGCACGGGTGCCATGCGCACTTCCACACTGCCCCCTTACTGAGTGTCACATGATTGGCAACTGGCAGAGAGGGGGGGTGGGGGGGGGGAGATGGTGACCTAACTTGAAAGGCTTGCACACGTCGCACTGAATGTGGATTTAGCATTCTTTTTCCGATCTGACTGACGACACTTTTCACACGATTCTCCATTTAAAATTGGTGCGCACTCGGTTCGCAAATTACGTTCAGAGGTGCAAGGTACTCTAGGCCAGCAAACACTATTGGTGTGTTTGACCTCTAACACCATAACTTTGGGATTGACCGGAAATACTGGCCCTACAACAGGGACACTTCCATTCAGCCGGAGGATCTTGGTTTTTTTATATTCAGGAAGCAAAAAATAATAATCAGTCATGTTCAGTAGGCCAAAACAGAAGAAAATGGCACAAAACAGAGAGATACTATCTCAATTGTTTTCTGTTGCAAAACATTGCTACTTGTGCCCTAATGAACATGACCCAGCTGTCAGCTTTCAAAAGACCAAGCATGTGACTATTTAGAGGCCACTGGAGAGTGCAAAATCAGTAGGAATATTGATGGATGTAGATCAAACTGTAATTGACAAAGGCAGATACCAATATAAAAGAGGTCAAAGTTACAAAAATTGACACACAGACTCAGGCAGTTAGGCATGCAGACAAACTGAGGGACAGTCAAAATAGGAGACCATTTTCTGCACAAGTTTGCTTTTAGACAAGAATTGACCAACAGCGCTGTTGTTAATATACCAGTCAGTTGTTGCAGAAACACCTTGTTATGACTCACATAATGCACCTCTAGGAAAATGTAACTACAATTAAACAAATGCTGGCCTGCAATCTGTACATTTTGAAGAGTCCAGGATATCAAACCTTTACATCGGAAGAAAGTACAGTCAATTATAATAGTTAAATGCAAATTTAACCAAGACTTCTGTGATACATTTGGTGATGCAGCCAACAAACCTGCAATGGATGTTTGTACTCATACTATTGTGTATTCATTCATGGCTCAGGTATCTTTTTTTTCTATTTTTTGTTTTTTTTGTACTATGTACAATTTACCTTCTTGCCATGTAGTGATTTTCCAGAAACGCACATTTGCTAAATGAAATGCCACAACTGTAACCTTGATAGAACCTCAAGAGCCCAGGAAAAAAGGGAACGTATGGGATTGGGTAAGGGCCTGACAGACTACGGTTCCAATGACTATTTCACAACTCAGGGAATAGGAATGGAACAAGTTGACAGCAAACATAATGTCAGAGTAACTATATGGAGAATAAGAGGAACTCACTATGTTATGACTCCTGATTTGAGATATGCAAGTATAACTCAGTTACTCAGAACGTTACGCACACACCTCAAATCAAGATTATGGATCTATAGTCCTAGAATAATTATCCATGTCAACATGATCACTTATATTAACTTTTTAAATCATTTGTGACTAACAAACATAGGTAGGTTGGGGAAAGGTGGAGAGAAGGGCGTGGAAATGTTAATAGCTGGCAGTTATGCAATACCCCAGTCTTTTTTTGTGTGTGAGAAATATCTTACTCTGTTGTTTTTCCATAGCTTTTTGCTTATCCTTTTCATGGTGCCTGCTCCACAATTCTACCCAAGATGCATTGCAAGCAAGGAGAGAAAGACAGAGAGAGTGTCAGAGAGCTGGTTGAGTAGGCAGGTATGGAGGATGAGCATTAGATAAACCATAACATAAAACAAAATTAAGCATTAAAGAAATCTGTTATTTTAACAATTGAGGATGTTTTGTAACGTCTGAGAGTAGTCACATGTCAGCTTGGCAATATGGAACACTATGACATAAATTCTCTGTACGCAGAGTTCCATTGCCATTTACTGCTACTGAGGTGTAACATTACAACACACCCAACACTCCTGGACCATGGTCCTGGAGAACCACACAAGGGGGAATACTGGGGTTCCTTTAAAAATGTATGTGACCGAGAAGTTAAGTTATTGGCTAGCAGTGTGTGGCTCTCCAGAACCAGGGTGACAGAGGCAGCAGGGCTTGGTGAAGGGCATGGAATGGGGGTGGAGTGGCCAGCCAGCTAGCCAGCAGGTGGAATGGAGCTGTTGCAGAAGCAGGGGTGCAAGTCTCAAAAAGACATTCCGTAGAATTGAAGCTGCATCTTCCCAAAGAGAGAAAAGGGGCTGGTGAAGTGAGGGTAGGTTGGTAGGTAGGGAGATTGAGGGAGTTGGGTGAATCTGTCCCCTGTATACAGACCCAAAGTAACATTTGAGATAGTAGAATGGTGGTCGAAAGGAGAAGCAATGCTTCGCTCCTTTTCCACAATGTTCAGTGTTAATTAACCCTATCCCCAAGCTAAACGGCAACCGTGGCTTGCTAACAGTGAGCATGAAATTTGTCTCTTCCTTGGGCCTGTTTACTGGGGAGTGACGCTCCACCCTCCATGCTAGAGCTGAGAGGTGCTACTTGTACAGCACGCTTTAAGGAAACCTGCAGTAAAGGCAGAGACAGGTCTTCAGACTCCTTAGCACAATACTGCAGATTTGGAGTTTCGAGAAGACAACGGAAAACGAAGACATGCACAGTCAAGGTGCTAGAAGGCAAACAAAGGAGGACTCCACAAGAGGTGGCAAACAGGGGCGCTCAACATTCAGAGAAGGGTGGGGAGGGATACAACACATCCAGGCTGGTGGGGGTGGGCTCAATGCAATATTTCACACACGCCTACACCGCTCAAGGCCAGATCTGGAATTCAAATGTGGTTATTTGTCAAATTTGGTTGGAGTTGCATGATGTGCAAATATTATGGCAAACCAGCATAATGTATTTTCTAAATATATTTCAGAGTTTTACAGCTTTAAATGCTGACCATTGGCATCACTGGTGTGGGTCAAAGTGAATGGAATATCATAAGGGGCTCTTTTTCTAAGGAAGGGGAAAGCACTCCCCTTGTTGCCTGGTTGGAAAGAGGTGGGTCAAGGGGTAGGGCAGGGTTTAGACTGGTGAGCAGGGGGGGCAAGGGGTGCTCTCAGAGCGCATGCAAGGGGGGATGGGGTGGGGTACACACCAATGGAGGCAATAAAATTCTCCTCGTTCAGACTCCGGGTGTCAAAGTGGCGGGTGCCTTTGCCCCCCGAGGTGGGGTGCGGCAGTTGGAGACGGGGCACCAGGAGGAGCCCCGGGGGCCTGGTGCCCTCCATGCGGGCAGACGGGCTCTCCTTGCTGCCCGGGCTGCTTGCAGCGTCACTGGGGCTCCGCTTGCGCTTCTCTGGGTCTACTGGGGCCACCAAGGAGGAAAAAGGGAGAAGAATAGGGAAGAAGGGAAAGAGATGGTAGCGAGAGAAGAAAGAAACAGTGTAGAGTTGCAGTGGGAGGTTTGAAAGTTAGAATAGATGGTTGTTTGTAGGGGTGTGAACGTTTAAAATGCTAAAACGAAATCGGGATCCTTAACATTAAGAAAAATCCCAACCTGAAAAAAACATGTTTTGATGTTTTTCCCCCCCACAAAATTAAAATAGCGGTGCAGTTATCACAAAACATACTATTTTCCGTGTTATAGCCTAACTAGAAAAGTTATGTAATTTAATTTAAATAGAACTTTAGGCTACTTTGGTGAATTTGCGAGGCATGCAAGACAGATTACTAAGACATATAGATGGGTTAGCTGACAATGTCACAAAAACGATGCGCATACGTCAGAAGTCCGTGAGTTGTGATTCTGGATAGCCAGATAGCTACCAACACTGACAAGAAACTGCCATGTGGGGAATCGTAAGTGACTCATTTCAGCTAGTTTAATCTTGTTCTTGATACCATGTCTTGTTTTGAGTTATTTTGACTGATTTCATGTCAATGCTAATATGGCAAAAATTCACTAGCTAGCTAATCAACAACTGTAAAGATGTATTTGAGAAACAACAAGTGCTCGTTGTGCAAATGTACTTATGTTTTCAATAAACATTGGAGACGAAATATAGTTTACATGTCAACAATGTAAGCCAACCCAGTCTGTTTTGCCCCATAGTTGCACACGCATCGGTGTTGTTGCTAAACAACCAATCCGTCTATGCACACGTTTTTTTCTGCCTGCCCCCTCCTCGCTCTCCATCACGCTGGCTCGCCTCGGGTGTATTCATTACGTCGATTCTGTTGCAAAACTGTTCTTAAACGGAACGAAACAGGGAGGGAACTACTTGCATTTGTCCAATAGAAACTTGTTTTAGTTGCAAAAAGTTTTACAACTATTTGGACTAATTAGTACACACACCCCTGCTCTTTCTCTTCGCTAATGATGCAAGTGTGTGTTCAGTCTTCGGTCTGTTGTGTGTAGAATATCCTAGCTTATTCATTGATGATAGGCCCTGCTTTACTGAAGTTGCGAGACATTGTAAGCCAAGACATTTGGAGATACAGCTTTTGATTGCCGATAGATAGGCCTAGTGCACGGTTCTGACTGTCTGCCTGGTGACAGACCTGTCTATACTATGACCCTCCCCTCTCTCTCCGTCTCTCGCTAGCTAGCTATGAAAGATGCGAGTGTTTGTATTCTCGGAAGTAGGGTAACCAGAAGTGGTCTAGTGCTAATTGTTTGTGTTTCTGTTGGGCAGAGGGAGAAGGCGCTCAGAGTTAAACAAATGGGGGAAAGAATTGTGAATTGTTTCGCTCTCAAGAAAAGGGCGCCATTGAAAGGAGTGATTACTGGGGTAGCGGTAAATGTGAAAGCTGACCAACTGAAGGGGAAGATTCCCGGTGTTTGTGATGCTTGTCGTTTGGTGCGACGCAAACAGGGTGGCGAGAGTGGGGAAACAGAAGAGTCATTGTCTGTTCTTTTGAGTTTTGATGTTGAGTCTTTGCCTGACAAAGTGAAGTTAGGATATATAAGTTATCCTGTACGAACTTATGTGCCGAATACATTACGATGTTACAGGTGTCAAACTTATGGGCATGTGGCAGCAGTATGTAGGAGGGAGGTTCCAAGGTGTGAGAAGTGTGCAGAAGGGCATGAAACAAAGGAATGTAGCATTGGGGAAAGTAGTGGTATGTGCTAATTGTAGGGGTGGCCATGGGGCTGGGGAGCAGAAATGTCCCGTGCGAGAGAAGCAGGTTGAGGCTTCCAGGGTAAAAGTAGTGAAGAAGTTGTCATATGCTAAGGCAGTGAATAAAGTAGAGCAAGAGATTTCAAGGGGGAGTGGTGAGAGTAGTAGAAATGTACTAGTACAGAGGGATAGGACAACAAGTGATATATGTTTCAGTAAGATTGGATTTTTAGCATTTATAGCAATGGTTATTAATTGTACTGCAGGGATGGAACGTAAGTCGAAGAAAATTGAGGTTGTGGTGGCAGCTGCAGAGAGGTATTTGGGTGTGCGAGACTTGACATCAGAAGAGTTACAGGGAGTGTTAAGTGGTGATGTCCCATCATTTCAGGTTGAGGGCATGAGGTAGGAATGAATATATTTAAATAGTGGAGTAGGGTGGTGTTCATTATTAATAATAATTTTGAATTTGTGAGTGTAGTGTTAGTAGATGGTAGGGTATTTCTTTATTTTATTTTTCAAGCAAAATATAAGGGAGTTGTACTCCAGTCTAGTAGGTGGCGGTAATGCAACAAATTGGATGCCAACCGCCGTTAAACCTCATTGAAGAAGAAGATGATTATTCTCGGAAGTACGGCAACTAATCAGTCTCTTCCGTTCCAAAAATACTGAATCTTAGGAGTCGATTCCTAGCGGAATTTAATCTTAACACTTAGAAATGGGAGTCGACATGCAAGGAGTCGAGGAATCAATTATTTTGGAGTCGACTCTCCACCACTACGACATCGTCGTTAATAGTTGGAAAAATGGCAGAAAAAGGCAAGCAACAGCAGCAAAGTCCTGTATTGCAATACTTTAAGAAGTTAAATGAGAAGGAAATGTAAACTTTGCAAGGTGGAATTGAGGTACAGTAATGGTAGTAGAGGCGCAATGCTTAAAGATCTGAAAGGGACGCACCGAGACCCAAACCCGTTGCTGGCAGCAGCGAAACTGCATTGTGAATTTGAGTGGAATTGTTTTAAATGTTCTTATCGTTTGTCACATCCCTAGTTGTTTGTCTTCTGCTCTTATGACCCAAATTCGCTCGGTGAATGCTTAATTAAACTGCAAAGTTACCTAAAAATGAGGCATGCGTTGGTGGTACTGACTCAGAGATTGAACCAGAACTCACTGCTGTAAAAACATATTGCTTACTTTTCAAATGAGTTGATAAAAAGGAAAATGGACACAGAAATTATCCAGATTGCACTCCTTTTCCTAGATAATACTTATGTTGCCTTTAAATAAGTGGAGTATATGAAACGCCTGTTAAGCACTTCTTTGTTTTCAAACAAGAATCAAGCATCAGTACCTTTCATTTTTTCAGAGGAAATAGTTAAGTCATAGTTTTGGGAGGGGGCATGACATGCTGAATTGAATGTGTCCTTTGAGAGAAAATGTTGACACTTTCAGTGGAGTATAGGTTTTCTGAACGTTACCTTTGGTTTGGTAGTGGGTGCGTGCTATTTCCAGCAGAACGAAGACGCTGGCCATGCCTCCAAGCCCGGCATTGGTGTACGAGTGTTCCAGACTAGAAACGGTGCACTTCAGTATGTCTAACATGCCCTTGTACACCTTCCTGCTAATCTCCTGAAGAGTACACCACACACACACACAGTTTCAATTGTAAGCTGTTATTCAGCTTTAATTCAAAACCAAGGTTAAAAAACGCATAATTAAAATGTTATTTCTCTCCCCTCGCTTGCCCCGTTCCTTTCTCCCCACCTGGGTGGGTGGAGCCACTCACCACATCACGGATGACCTCCTGCCTGATATCCTCCTCTGACTGGACGGTCCGGTTCAGCTTGCTCAGCACGAAGACGCGCAGCTGCTCGTTCTCCAGCAGGCGGCGCACCTTCTTCATGTTGAGCCAGCCCACGCCTTGGCCCTCCAGCACACTCTGCACCACCTCCTTCAGGAACTGCTGGTTCTCACTGGGACAGACACAGCTCTGGTTCAGTCACTCCGATCACACTCCCCTTTTTGTATATGTCACCATTGGCTCTTAAATTAGACAACCCTTCTCCTAAAGGGGATTGATATATCACCTATCCAGGTCTGTCATTTGACATTATACAGTGGGGGAAAAAAGTATTTAGTCAGCCACCAATTGTGCAAGTTCTCCCACTTAAAAAGATGAGAGAGGCCTGTAATTTTCATCATAGGTACATGTCAACTATGACAGACAAATTGAGATTTTTTTTCCCAGAAAATCACATTGTAGGATTTTTTATGAATCTATTTGCAAATTATGGTGGAAAATAAGTATTTGGTCACCTACAAACAAGCAAGATTTCTGGCTCTCACATACCTGTAACTTATTCTTTAAGAGGCTCCTCTGTCCTCCACTCGTTACCTGTATTAATGGCACCTGTTTGAACTTGTTATCAGTATAAAAGACACCTGTCCACAACCTCAAACAGTCACACTCCAAACTCCACTATGGCCAAGACCAAAGAGCTGTCAAAGGACACCAGAAACAAAATTGTAGACCTGCACCAGGCTGGGAAGACTGAATCTGCAATAGGTAAGCAGCTTGGTTTGAAGAAATCAACTGTGGGAGCAATTATTAGGAAATGGAAGATATACAAGACCACTGATAATCTCCCTCGATCTGGGGCTCCACGTAAGATCTCACCCCGTGGGGTCAAAATGATCACAAGAACGGTGAGCAAAAATCCCAGAACCACACGGGGGGACCTAGTGAATGACCTGCAGAGAGCTGGGACCAAAGTAACAAAGCCTACCATCAGTAACACACTACGCCGCCAGGGACTCAAATCCTGCACTGCCAGACGTGTCCCCCTTCTTAAGCCAGAACATGTCCATGCCCGTCTGAAGTTTGCTAGAGTGCATTTGGATGATCCAGAAGAGGATTGGGAGAATGTCATATGGTCAGATGAAACCAAAATATAACTTTTTGGTAAAAACTCAACTCGTCGTGTTTGGAGGACAAAGAATGCTGAGTTGCATCCAAAAAACACCATACCTACTGTGAAGCATGGGGGTGGAAACATCATGCTTTGGGGCTGTTTTTCTGCAAAGGGACCAGGACGACTGATCCGTGTAAAGGAAAGAATGAATGGGGCCATGTATCGTGAGATTTTGAGTGAAAACCTCCTTCCATCAACAAGGGCATTGAAGATGAAACGTGGCTGGGTCTTTCAGCATGACAATGATCCCAAACACACCGCCCGGGCAACGAAGGAGTGGCTTCGTAAGAAGCATTTCAAGGTCCTGGAGTGGCCTAGCCAGTCTCCAGATCTCAACCCCATAGAAAATCTTTGGAGGGAGTTGAAAGTCCGTGTTGCCCAGCGACAGCCCCAAAACATCACTGCTCTAGAGGAGATCTGCATGGAGGAATGGGCCAAAATACCAGCAACAGTGTGTGAAAACCTTGTGAAGACTTACAGTAAACGTTTGACCTGTGTCATTGCCAACAAAGGGTATATAACAAAGTATTGAGAAACTTTTGTTCTTGACCAAATACTTATTTTCCACCATAATTTGCAAATAAATTCATAAAAAATCCTACAATGTGATTTTCTGGAGAAAAAAAATCTCATTTTGTCTGTCATAGTTGACGTGTACCTATGATGAAAATGACAGGCCTCTCTCAGCTTTTTAAGTGGGAGAACTTGCACAATTGGTGGCTGACTAAATACTTTTTTTCCCCACTGTATTGGCAAGAAAGTTTATGACAACCAGCTTTTGTTTTTGATGGCCAACATTATACCATGAAGACATTATGCCATGAAGGTGGTAAACTAATTCAAATATGTCAGTCAGCGTGCGTTGTCAAAGAATGCCATGACAGCAATGTCCTGGTAATACAGTCTCATAGGGGTCTGTTACCTGGTGTTGTTGGCACGACCCTGGGGCGAGGGGGACTCTCTCTTGACCGTGGGACTGTGCTTAATGACTGACGACTTCTGGTCAACGAGGGCCCTGGGGGGACCGCGGGCTCCTCCTGCAGGAGCCATATAAAACAGTGAGGTCTCCACAGTAAATACCATGGAAACACAGAAAACCATAACCAACGACAAGTCAGAGACATACAAACAGAAATACCAGTTGACTTGATAAAGGAGGTGCTTATACATTTCACTACAAAGCCCCCAAATCACATAGTCTACGATGTACTAATTAGATAACCACATCAAAGACTAATAGACAAAGAAGATGGGACACATCCTGCATACATAAAAAGACACACACACACATCAATTTTCGGTGGCAGGGACACTAGCTAATGACTAGCCGAGCTACAGGTTTCATATTCAGACACTAAAGGTGAGGGACAGATCAAATGGGACGTCACACAGAAGGAGTCAACATGGCACTGTGTTTTTGGCATCACACATTAGCAGAGAACAGAGGTGAGGTCAGATTGGAGCGGGATCTGCATGGCAACAAGACAGACAAGTTATGTGTCATGCAGAAAAAGAACGAAAAATTAAGATGGGTCGACAATCACACACACACACACGGCTAACGGAAAGATACACACTGTAGTGTTCATACTGTTAGTCACCTTGTACAGTTAGACAGACACTCATGAACACACAGTGCAATGGAATACAAAAGTGTGGTGGATCACTTGCAGGGTTTGGGCCTGTGAACAATATTATTATCAAACTGATTATAATATTGTTGCGCCTACATAGCTTACCCACTGGGCAGACCTCTCAGTTCAACATCTATTTTTGATTTACATTTGGTTTAGTTGTCAACTAACGTGAATTAAAACGTGAAATCAACAGAACATTTAGATTCCCTTACGTTGATGACTTTTTGCAAATCCAATCAGTTTTCCACATCACACCTTTTAATGACGTGGAAACAATGTTGATTCAACCAGTTTTTGCCCAGTGGGTAGCCTGTTTGACACTTTGAACATTTAGGCTAAAGGTAATGTCTTGAAAGTGAGGATACAAATAAATACATCCACCAAAAATGTATTGGGTCCTTGTCATAAACAACATCGGCTGTTACCGGTATATCCGATTTTGTCATGGCATTGCGTAGGCTCTATGACCGCATGTTACCAAAGACCTCACCTGACAACGATGCCATTTTACCCCACATTTTCCAAAATATCATCCATTAGTTGTACAACATGCATCACAGCACTTCAAATAATTCCCATTCCATTCGATCACTGTGGTACTGGTACATATGCTCAGTAACCACAAAGCCAACTAAGTGTCCAATGACAACTCCAATCAAAACCGGTGACTATGAGTTTAGGAATTAAGACAGAACAGCACTCTTGGTGCTGCGAGACTGCTCTCCTTAATTCAATTATCAATGAAACAGTGTTTAAAACTCTAACTCACAGCACTGGAAGAATGATGTCATGCCTTACCTACAGGGTAGCAGTTTTGATTGGCTAAGGCATGCCTCCACTGGCAAGGTGATGGGAGGTCTAGGTGTGTATGTGTGAGACCAAAGAGGTGGCCAAACAAGCAAATATAGCTTCTTGCTTGGCTTGGACAATAATGGGAAAGCTGATGTTGACCAACTCGAATCAACATCTTGTCAGGTCCCATACAATACTGTGGAATGCAGAGACTTAGGTTCGCACCAAAAAAAATGAATGGCATCACCTTGGCAATTGTTAATATGGGTTGCACAGCTTCTAACAAGCTAAGCTTGTGAGGGCCCAACCCAAACTAATACAAAGATGTGTGGATGGGTGGAGTGACTCTGCAAAGGTTAGTGAATGGGGCAACAGTCACTGTGGTGGGATGGTGAAAGACAACAGGACAGACTCGATGTATGACGATGAATGATCTCTCGATGGTGCATGTCAGGTGACAGAGGAGGGTGAGCGAGGAGGATCCTGGGAGATGTAGTTGACTGGCTAGGAGAAGCATGCAGCCCACACAGTTTAAAAGGGCGGAACCCACCTTCTCCGCTCCCCGGGCCGGCCTCTGTAATTATCTCCATTAGAGAATTTAGTCCAAATACTGGACACAAAACCCAGAATTAGTGCAGAGAAGTGGAAAGAGGGACAGAGAGGGACACCGGCCCAGACCGAACCAGTCTGAACATCAACCCACAACACACATGCACAGCAACACACTGACCGAGTGCACAAAGAGAGCAGAAAATAGAGAGTGGGAGAAAAGGAAAGAGTGAGGGAGACAGACCAAGGAAGGGGTCAGCACATTTTTGTTGTGACTTAACCTCAAAAAGGTTATAGCCATGAAATGTCATGACCAATCTTACATGTGGTGATTTAGGCTACTTTTGTTAGGATCCCAATATATTTTAATACCATCTAGGGGTGGGAGAAAGCATTTGCCAATTTTAAGTGTCTATGTCCAGAAGAGCACAAGTTTATGGGCCCTCTGACCACAGAGACCTCAGCCGGAGAACACACAAAAACGATGGAGAGCCACCGAACAAGCGAGCAAGCAAGGCAACAGACTGCACAGAGCAAGGAGATCAGGTGTCATGTCAGTTTCATTTAAATTCCAGTTCACTTGGGTAATCAATTGTACTTCAATCGATAAAATGAAAAATCCTCATAGAAAGTGATAGGTAATTTGCCATTCAGGAACTGAAAGTCAATTCATCCTCAAATATTGAGTGGAATTGAAAACGGACTTGACCCCAACTCTGCCGGGAAACCATGAGGAAAAACACAAAATTCCTGTGAAAATGCCACATAAAAAGGGGATAATATGTATGCAAATTAAGAGATCTGTCGTCTATAAATGTGTGCATCATAGCGCATCAGACTCCCACCAAACAGAGCAGAATAACAAGGAAACAAAGGGAAGGATATGGATATACATGAATGAAAATACAGATATATCTCCTAGTATGCAACCTGAGTAATATGGACTCAGATAGGTAGGGTCGAATAAGAGTCAAAGATGGAGCTAGTTGTAGGGTAAAACAAACTACCACACCAGACAATAACATACCCGGACTGTCTGGACCCGGGCTACCCGGACTAGCCGGGCTGTCATCTGAACAGTCAAGACAAAACAAATCATCATCAAAGGAAAAAAGAAACAAACGTTGGTTTGCTATGGCAGCTGTCCCAAACAGCGTGGGGCTATTGAGTTTAACACATGCATTTCTTATTTTCTCTCACAAATGTTCCCATAACATCCAGGCAACCATGTGGGATTGGGAACATTGAAAACAGGGTACTTGAGAGAAAATGCTAACTTTTGTCAGGTCCTCAATATCCACCTAATGCCATACATCAACATGGCAGTCCAGAGGGGGACAAATACAACATTTAGAATGAAAGTCTATTCATTCTAAAAAAATTAAAAATATTATAAAAATAAAGAATTCTACAAACCTTCCTCAATTTCCTCCTCTACGTCAAAATTAAAATATTCTATATTTTTGTAAAATAAAATAATTAAGAGGGGAAAAGGCAAAAGGAAAGAAGGTAAAAATATACAATATAAAGTTGAATAAATGCTACACTGTGTAGCCTAAACTGGCTTGCCAGACATTTCAGCATGACATACCGTCAATACTACTCCTGGCTACTCTACTTAGTGCAAACAAAGCAACAGCCTCTGAGGAAGAAATATGCTGACGTTAAAGAAGTTCAACATGTCAGTCAGAGTTACACATCATTATGTCATCTACTCTCCTTCCTTCTCCACATCAGGTTAAAGTAGGCCTAACTGTCCAGTGAAAATCTTACTTTTAAAAGTAAATAGTCTGTTAACTCATACCCAAATAATGTTGCTAACAAAGCATAAATTGGAGAAAAAAACACTTCAAAAACCCCACCTCAAAGTCAAACATTTTCATAAATGCTTGCCGTTTCAAATAATGCTTGCTATTTCCTCATAGAACATGACATGTTGGCTCATTGGCTGAGCTGGCCAATCAGCAGTCTAAAGCGGTTTTAATGACTGGTATACACCGACACCATTCTGTTGTTGGGGTATGCCCACATAATTCAAACATAGAAAAGCTGCTTTTGAACATACTTATTTTTTTTTAAAAATAAATGGAATTAAAGCTATTTCACTCATATTGTAATTAATTATAGGTCATATTTAAAATAAATCTGCAAACACTGGACAGTTACTTTAAATGATTAAGATGACTTCACATGGGAATAGCTTATACTCAATGTGTCTTATCAAGATAAATAGCATAGTCATGATACGGTGTATAAAACATTGTAGAAATTTGCACTCTGGTGATTTTTGCACGCGAAATATTATAATTTTTTATGCCCATGACAAAACAAAAACACTTATACTTTATAACCACTGCAAGAGCTGTATGACAACCCTTTGTACTTTGAAAGGGCATTGTTTTAGTAGACAGCCTGCCTCTACTGCCTTCAACTGACAAACCTGACTGCAATCTGCTGTAGGGCACAAAAATTGGAATACAGCCACAGTGAGTGAAATGGAGAAGGAGATGAGATGGATAAAGGTCAGAGAAAAAAAAGAGAAATGAAGGATGAGTGAAGATAACGTGAAAGGTGGACCAAAACAGGGCAAAGGGCTGCATTAGTACTGTACCTTTGAGATTGGGGAAGGGCCCAGTCCCAGCGGCCTTCTCCCTCAGGCCACCCTTGTTGGGTACAGACAGGTTGGAGAGGCTGAAGCTGGTGCCGTGGTTCTTGTACAGATTGCCTGCAGTGATTGTGAGAGAGTCGCTGATGACTGATGAAGTCTCGCAAAGAAACCAACATTTGACCATCCTATAGTATACCCATGATGATTTGCAGCCCAACGTCAAGTTCCATTTCAATCTGTACATAGCTGGCAAATATTGTCAATTTCTGTTTGTAAACTGTACATTTCTGGTTGTCTTCCTGATTGAGAAGACCAGCAACTAGTATTGCCTGCTGGGTAACCCTTTCACATTCCCCCTTCAGTGTTCAAAGATCTCGTAGGACAGGATAGATGAACAGAAGGGCAAAAAAGCTCAGCTTTGGAGGACAAGGTGTAACTGTCACCTATCCAGCCCTTTCAGATCTGTGATTATCATACAACTGAAATAGACCCTGGTTGAGGAGACTCACTAGCAAAGGACATGAGGCCCCCAAAGCCATCGCTGCTGTTGTTGGAGATTGGAGAACTGTTGCGGGAGTCGCCCTCTCCGTCCGACTCTCCAGGCAGCTTTAGGCTGCTGGGCCTCAGGGGGCGTTGGGCTCTGTGGAGCAGAAAAGGTGTTAGAGGTCTGGGGGAGTGTCACGTTCTGTTAGCGTAGTTTTCTGACTGCTACACCAGAGGCATATCACAGATGCAGAATTCAGAAGCTGAGAGACTTAATTGGGTGTGTATGTTTAAGAGATGTACAGTGAGGGAAAAAAGTATTTGATCCCCTGCTGAATTTGTACGTTTGCCCACTGACAAAGACATGATCAGTCTATAATTTTTATGGTAGGTTTATTTGAACAGTGAGAGACAGAATAACAACAAAAAAATCTAGAAAAACGCATATCAAAAATGTTATAAATTGATTTGCATTTTAATGAGGGAAATAAGTATTTGACCCCTCTGCAAAACATGACGTAGTACTTGGTGGCAAAACCCTTGTTGGCAATCACAGAGGTCAGACGTTTCTTGTAGTTGGCCACCAGGTTTGCATACATCTCAGGAGGGAGTTTGTCCCACTCCTCTTTGCAGATCTTCTCCAAGTCATTAAGGTTTCGAGGCTGACGTTTGGCAACTCGAACCTTCAGATCCCTCCACAGATTTTCTATGGGATTAAGGTCTGGAGACTGGCTAGGCCACTCCAGGACCTTAATGTGCTTCTTCTTGAGCCACTCCTTTGTTGCCTTGGCCATGTGTTTTGGGTCATTGTCATGCTGGAATACCCATCCATGACCCATTTTCAATGCCCTGGCTGAGGGAAGGAGGTTCTCACCCAAGCTTTGATGGTACATGGCCCCGTCCATCGTCCCTTTGACGCCATGAAGTTGTCCTGTCCCCTTAGCAGAAAAACACCCCCAAAGCATAATGTTTCCACCTCCATGTTTGACGGTGGGGATGGTGTTCTTGGGGTCATAGGCAACACGGCGAGTTGAGTTGATGCCAAAGAGCTTGATTTTGGTCTCATCTGACCACAACACTTTCACCCAGTTCTCCTCTGAATCATTCAGATGTTCATTGGCAAACTTCAGACGGGCCTGTATATGTGCTTTCTTGAGCAGGGGGACCTTGCGGGCGCTGCAGGATTTCAGTCCTTCACGGCGTAGTGTGTTACCAATTGTTTTCTTGGTGACTATGTTCCCAGCTGCCTTGAGATCATTGACAAGATCCTCCTGTGTAGTTCTGGGCTGATTCCTCACCGTTCTCATGATCATTGCAACTCCACAAGGTGAGATCTTGTATGGAGCCCCAGGCCGAGGGAGATTGACAGTCTTTTGTGTTTCTTCCATTTGCGAATAATCGCACCAACTGTTGTCACCTTCTCACCAAGCTGCTTGGCGATGGTCTTGTAGCCCATTCCAGCCTTGTGTAGGTCTACAATCTTGTCCCTGACATCCTTGGAGAGCTCTTTGGTCTTGGCCATGGTGGAGAGTTTGGAATCTGATTGATTGATTGCTTCTGTGGACAGGTGTCTTTTATACAGGTAACAAACTGAGATTAGGAGCACTCCCTTTAAGAGTGTGCTCCTAATCTCAGCTCGTTACCTGTATAAAAGACCTGGGAGCCAGAAATCTTTCTGAATGAGAGGGGGTCAAATACTTATTTCCCTCATTAAAATGCAAATCAATTTATAAAATTTTTGACATGCGTTTTTCTGGATTTTGTTGTTGTTATTCTGTCTCTCATTGTTCAAATAAACCTACCATTAAAATTATAGACTGATCATTTCTTTGTCAGTGGCCAAACGTACAAAATCAGCAGGGGATCAAATACTTTTTTCCCTCACTGTATACATCACTTTTTTTTGTACGACGTTTTCAGAATGTGTGGTTTATGATGCTTGTTTGTGTGTACAATGTTATGGCGTAGGTGTGTTGTAACATACTTCTTGCCATTGAGGTTCTGGTTGAACCGGGGCGTGTACGTCTCCTCTTGGTCTTCTGCCTCAGTGTCCTCCTCAGCAGGGAAGCCATACTGAGGCTCAAAGTAGGGGTTGTCGTACTCGCCCTTCTTATTGGCTTGTCCCACCGGGTCGGCGTCTGGGGGAAGTCTGGAGAAGGGCGGCGCACCCAATCCCGGGACAGAGTTCTGTAGAGCTGCACTGGCCAACGCCTCCATTTCCACTGGTTCTGCCTGCTCCTGGACACAATTAACATCAATCAGTGGTCACTAATGGTTGATACTAAATACACAAGATTGCCACTTTATGAGGAGGAAGAAGAAAGGAAAATCTCAAGCAAATATATAATTATTGCCATTATGTTCTCATGGTTAAGAGTTATGAACAAATTCAAACGTCAGTTGCCAAAAATGTCAGTTGCTAACTTGTGTTAACTGCATAATTTTATACTCGTGTAAAATGAGCAGTTCACTGACATTGTTGACTCCCTGGATGATTGTGCTTGGGCTGGAGCTGGCGGTTGTGCTGGAGCTCGAGCGGAGGGCTTGTCCATCAAGAGGTTCAGGAGCTCCGTCGCCCCCCTCGGGCAGTGCCTTCTCTTCGGGGAGGGGACCCTCTCCTCCCTTGAACTCCTGGAAGTCCTGGAACTCCACCTCGCTGGCGTCTCCCAGTGCAGCGTGGGTAGGGGGATCCAGGTCTACAACACCAGAAGACAGATATTAGTTGGTATTGATGACCAAAGGGTCACAAAACAAAATGTTTAGCTAGTGGCTGTTTCTGAAAGGAATTGGTCATTTTTTGGTTACCATTTGACAAGATAAACAATTGTCAGTTATTATAATACGGGGGAACTGACAGTTTTTTGTCATAACAATAAGTATGTGTAAGCTGGGTCGTTCTTGGGTTGCAATTACACAGGCAGCCCAAGTTTTTTTGTGTGTTTTTTTTGCAAATTGGTCTTTTGACCAATCAAATCAGCTCTTTTGCCAATAACTGGGCAACATATTAGAATTGGTTTCCTGTGTAAATGCAGCCCTGGTGAAATGGCACAGATACTTACTTGGCGTGTCCCCTTGGATGTCACATTTGATCATTTCGCTCACCAAGTCTCCAAGTGACGAGTAGGATGAGCTGGAGTCATCGTAGCCAGCCTCGCTGTCACTGCCACAGAGACAAAACAGAGTGGCATTACCCCGGACGCCATCTTGGTGACACCTTACACGTCTACAGAAGGCTAACTGAAAAAAGCTAAGTAAACCTTTATCTCAGACTCAAATTAACCTCAACTGATACATCATTTCTAGCAAGACTAGCAAGCTAACTATTGAGCTAACTAGCAAATCTACTAGTTAATGTTTAGAGTTCGCCATCTAGTGGCTAATGTGTTGTCTATCTACATTCTATAGCCTACCATGCTGCTGCTTCTGCTGCAATGTCTCCGTCGGCCGCACTTGCACACACACAAACACACATGATGCACACATACACAGAGAACTCACAGATCAGACACTGGAAAGGACCTCCCTTCAGATCTAGTTTTTATATGCAGCTAAATGGCGCACTAACATGTTTTCAACATTGCAAAAGTGCTTTTAGACCTTTGACAGTACCTGGCACTGAAAAAAATCTTTAACTTAACATTTTGCCAATTATGTTATAGCAGTAGTATCAAAGAACCGTTATACCTTCCAACTGTGGAAGGGGTCTGTGTTTTTTACCTGTCGTCTGTGGGGTCCGAGTCGTTGGCCTCATCCTCTAGGGGTCCGCTCATAGCCTCGGCCAGCTGGGAGCTGCCGTCATACACGCGGTAGAACACTGGCTGCAGCTGGTGGGCGTACCACTTGCCCTTGTCTCCGATCAAAGATGGGTCATACACGTCTGCAGAACACAGAGGTACGCTCAGAAACACAACAAAACCTTCAAACTGCCTGTATCGCTCATAGAAATATACCAGCGTGCACAAAACATTAGGAACACCTGTTCTTTCCATGACAGGCTGACCAGTTGAATCCAGGTGAAAGCTATGATCCCTTATTGATGTCACCTGTTAAATCCACTTCAAGTCAGTGTAGATGAAGGGAAGGATATAGGTTAAAGAAGGATTTTTAAGCCTTGAGACAATTGAGACATGGATTGTGTATGTGTGCCATTCAGAGAGTGAATGGGCAAGACAAAATATTTAAGTGCCTTTGAACGGGGTATGGTAGTAGGTGCCAGGCACACCGGTTTGTGTCAAGAACTGCAACGCTGCTGGGTTTTCCACACTCAATAGTTTGCTGTGTGTATCAAGAATGGTCCACCACCCAAAGGACATCCAGCCAACTGTGGGGAAGCATTTGAATCAACATGGGCCAGCATCCCTGTGGAACGCTTTGAATACCTTGTAGAGTCCATGCCCCGACGAATTGAGGCTGTTCTGAGGGCAAAAGGGGGTGCAACTCAATATTAGGAAGGTGTTCCTAATGTTTTGTACACTGAGTGTATATTCACATTTGACCTAAAGAAAGTGCATTAATTGATAGCATAAATCACTTTTTACTTATCCCTTTACACACGTGGAAAATGGCCTATATGGATAGGGATAAATTGAAATGTTTCTCACAGAAGAAATGGAAAAGCATATACGTAACAATGGTAGCAATTGAAAGAGAACAGTTTGGAGATAATTGGAAGATTATTAGACCAAAGGTGATTACACAACAGTTCACCTGACACAAGACTGAATCCAAACACTACACTGTTGATTTCATGTGCATTTTACATTTACTGTACTTTTGCCGCATTTGTAAATACTCTGGATACATTCAATAACATGATAAGACTATTCCTGGAAAATGTGGGGTGGGTGCAACATAACACAAAAAATGACATGGGTTTGAGTGAGAGGACACCTTTCTAAAGTTTGCACAGTTCCTAAGCAATTTCAATGCACTTTTATGACTCAAAAGAAGAGTCTTCAACTATAAAGGTACTTTTGAGCTCTCCTGCTGTGCCGTTGAGGAACTGTAGCAACAACACTTGTAGTCGTTTTGCTTGGAACACAACCCTGCAATTACACAATTACTGTTGCTGTTTACGCAATCCAAAAACGGTCCATTATAAATCGCAATCTGGGTCAGATGGGCATGATTTGAAAGCTGGTTCTATTGCCAACATGACTAGTTAAGTTATAAAATACAAATCTTACAGTGTTAGGCTTTCACAAGTCAATTCCGAGAAACAGATCATAATTTTGGTGGGCATAGAAAGGAGGCATTAGTGCATTCAGCTGCGTGTCCTGCGGCAAATTTTCTTCACAATAAACAAACATATGCTCATTCTGATCAGAACAACCCAGGGTATGACGCCATGTTATCTTGTAACTGTACATCAAACAGTGACCATAAACATTGACACCCTATATGAGTTTTATGATTTAGAAATGTGAAGTACACATTTGGACTTGCTTTTATGACATCAAAGCGGTATTTATTATAATCCTCAACGTCACATCTTTCAAAATACATTGAGTGATCTTAATTTACAGCATTTCCGTCAGACAACCAAAAATGTGCTAAAGTTGCCTAATTACCAGGAGGGATGGGGGCAACTTCTAGTCGCATGGTGCTCAAGTTCAGAACGTCTGTCAGTCAAAACCCATACAGTGCTGTGAAGTGCAGAGCCAGAGCTTTAACGTCATGTACAGCATGTTACTGTACAGCCACTACGTTCCAATTTAGACAATTAGTGCACAAATCTGCCATTTTCAACCCGTATACAGGTACGAGTGTAAAGGGCTACACTTTACTTCACCCTATAAATATCCAAGCTAGCACAGTATGGTTCGGGTCTAAACAGAAATACACCAATTGTCAGTCTAGGGTAAGGGACTTACTGTTGTGGATCCTCTGAAAGGCCAGGTTGGTGGGGTTGAGGGCCCACTCGCCATAGTACTCCACGGCCTGGGTGTGCGACAGCTTCTCAGCGAAGCCTGAGCGGCGGGGCCGCGAGGCCAGGAAGGACGTGGCCTGAAATGCCACCACAGGCCGGGGGAAGAGGCGCAGCGTGCGTGTGTGCATCTGGAAACCCTGGAGCACGTTGGGGGAGTTGAAGAACCGGACCATGGCAACCCTGTTGGAGAAAGAAGGGAAGGTGAGTGTGTTAACGCTTCAATTAGTAATATTTAATTAAATTCAAAAAGCTTTCTTGTTTATCAGATGTACATACGAGATACATTTGTATTTGATATGAGGCTCAAATGAAACATAGTTTCACATGACATTATGACTTTGTTGAGTCATATTCAATTCAGATTTTAGGAACTTCAAGTGGGAAACGGGGGTCAATCCATAAATTGTGCATATGTAAATAGCCCTTCATATCTATAAAATATCTAAAATATTCACAGACTAAAAATCAAATGGAAGGAGTGTATAGGTCCTGACTGGATTATTCTGCTAGGCTCAAAGTTAAAAAATGTAACCAACCTCACAAATTGCCTTGCATGGATAATATGAGATCTACTTAAAAAGGGACAGAGAAACTTTGTCAAGCCTTGCCTGGTGGCCACATCCACAGAGTCCACGTCGTTGCCGTAGATGAGGGGGTTGAACTCGGTGGAGGAGGGCGACGCCTTGTTCTGGCCGGGGGGGAGCAGGGGTAACTCCTGGCCCTCCTGGAACTTCTCCAGGTTCAGAATGGGCTGGGTGTTGAGACTCATGCTGGCCAGGGCCTGGAGCAGGTAGAGGTGACGAAGGTTTTAATCAACACACTGTCGTGGAGATGAGATGAGGGGTCACTCGGCCCCACTAGGGGGCACTCTCACCTCAGGCATCAGCTGAAGGGTAGTGCAACAGAATGGTCTCACTAGTACCAGTGTGGAACTGTCTGTTTGGGGTTCAAAATGGTGCAAGATAGTATAGTACAGGGGTTCGGAGACCTCAACATTGGATAACAATGAGTCAACTATTATCATTTATTCTTTTTGGTTAACCCTATATTTTTTGTCTGTATGATATAAGTTCTCATGTGAGAATAAATAATTAATAAAACACAAGGACTAAGCTAGGAGGACTCACAATGTGATTATGTTATTAGCTGACAGGTGAGCGTGTGGGACAAAATGAGGAAGCCTGTTTCCCAGCAAATTAATCAGAGGAGTGCATGTTTTTGCAGATGCCTGAAATGGGAGTTGTCATTTGGGAGAGGTTGAGGGAAGAAGTAACAGCAGAGGGAATTCACTAGCACTCTGGGATTACTGCTGACTCATTCAGGGTTTTGCACAATGTTAGCACAGTGGATCGTTTGATGGCCAGGTCAGTCAGCAAAAATCTCCATATCCACTGTGTTTAATTACAAGAACACTCACTGATGACAAGATAGATGTGCATTCATTCAGGCATGCTCAAGCCAGAACTAAGCAGCCAGTGGTGGGTCTGCAAAAAATCTCACTCTATGCCGCCAGTCTGTTACAACTTCTCAACAATAGTGTATGACACTTGAGAAAACTGAAAAAATAACAAGCAACAACAACAAAAATATTTAGGTTTGGTGAGGAAGAATATCCGTGCAAGGAGCATGGCACATTCCGCAGAAGGAGAAATTAGGAAACCTTATTGTCAGAGGAGAAGATCTGCTTTTGGGTGATCACGGTCAACCTAACCAGACACTAGGGAAGGGGAGGAGGACAAGAGAGATGCCAGGAAGAGGATCACATGAAAAGGCTGAGCTGACCAATTGCTGAGCAGAATTGAAACCACACATGACAAAAAGGGTCAAGATAGGAGTCTGTGTGTCCAATTCCCTTGAAATGGATTCCTTTCCTAATCTCCTCTCAATCCTGACTACTAAACTGCTGAAAGGACAGGATGCTTGAAAGCAACGTGGGAACCTTGACTAGCCAATAAGTGGGCTAGTGGGGAGATGGAGATGCCTCCATGTTGCTTTCACATACAGCCCTTTCAGCTAAGTGAAAGGTGCAGTTTTCAGAGAATTGGGACATAGCCAGAGAACGAGAGAGAGATGGAGAGAGAGAGAGAGAGAGAGAGAGAGAGAGAGAGAATGAAGTAGAGAGGACGAGAGAGAAGAGGAGGTGCAAGAGAGGAAGAAAAACAAACACATTTACAGAGATCAAACCATGACAGAGACAAGTGAGAGAGAGAGACACACAAACACACACAAAACAACACACAAAAAGGAACAGTAATGCACCACACCACACCCAACACAAGTTAGCCACTGAAGAGACGATCGATGGTTACCAACTGGGAGGATAACCAGTGGCTACGATGGAGAGGTGATACTGAGACACAGAAGGGAGCAGATCTCTTGACAATAACGAAAAATACTTTTGGCTTTTTGTTTACACTGTCCGTACACCCCCCAACTCAAATTCTCCCATCTCTTAACCTGTTAGATGCTGACATACACTGAGTGTACAAAACATTACAAACACCTGCTCTTTCCATGACTGGCCAGGTGAATCCAGGTGAAAACTATGATCCCTTATTGATGTCACTTGTTAAATCCACTTCAAATCAGTGTAGATGAAGGGGAGGAGACAGGTTAAAGAAGGATCTTTAAGCATTGAGACAATTGAGACATGGATTGTGTACAGTGAGGAAAATAAGTATTTGATCCCCTGCTGATTTTGTACGTTTGCCCACTGACAAAGAAATGATCAGTCTATAATTTTAATGGTAGGTTTATTTGAACAGTGAGAGACAGAATAACAACAACAAAATCCAGAAAAATGCATGTCAAAAATGTTATAAATTGATTTGCATTTTAATGAGGGAAATAAGTATTTGACCCCTCTGCAAAACATGACAGTACTTGGTGGCAAAACCCTTGTTGGCAATCACAGAGGTTAGACGTTTCTTGTAGTTGGCCACCAGGTTTGCACACATCTCAGGAGGGATTTTGTTCCACTCCTCTTTGCAGATCTTCTCAAAGTCATTAAGGTTTTGAGGCTGACGCTTGGCAACTCGAACCTTCAGCTCCCTCCACAGATTTTCTATGGGATTAAGGTCTGGAGACTGGCTAGGCCACTCCAGGACCTTAATGTGCTTCTTCTTGAGCCACTCCTTTGTTGCATTGGCCGTGTGTTTTGGGTCATTGTCATGCTGGAATACCCATCCACGACCCAAGATTTGACGGTACATGGCCCTGTCCATCGTCCCTTTGATGCGGTGAAGTTGTGTTGTCCCCTTAGCAGAAAAACACCCCCAAAGCATAATGTTTCCACCTCCATGTTTGACGGTGGGGATGGTGTTCTTGGGGTCATAGGCAGCATTCCTCCTCCTCCAAACACGGCGAGTTGAGTTGATGCCAAAGAGCTCGATTTTGGTCTCATCTGACCACAACACTTTCACCCAGTTCTACTATGAATCATTCAGATGTTCATTGGCAAACTTCAGACGGCCCTGTATATGTGCTTTCTTGAGCAGGGGGACCTTGCGGGCGCTGCAGGATTTCAGTCCTTCACAGCGTAGTGTGTTACCAATTGTTTTCTTGGTGACTATGGTCCCAGCTGCATTGAGATCATTGACAAGATCCTCCTGTGTAGTTCTGGGCTGATTCCTCACCGTTCTCATGATCATTGCAACTCCACGAGGTGAGATCTTGCATGGAGCCCCAGGCAGAGGGAGATTGACAGTTCTTTTGTGTTTCTTCCATTTGCGAATAATCGCACCAACTGTTGTCACCTTCTCACCAAGCTGCTTGGCGATGGTCTTGTAGCCCATTCCAGCCTTGTGTAAGTCTACAATCTTGTCCCTCTTTGGTCTTGGCCATGGTGGAGAGTTTGGAATCTGATTGATTGATTGCTTCTGTGGACAGGTGTCTTTTATACAGGTAACAAGCTGAGATTAGGAGCACTCCCTTTAAGAGACACCTGGGAGCCAGGAATCTTTCTGATTGAGAGGGGGTCAAATACTTATTTCCCTCATTAAAATGCAAATCAATTTATAACATTTTTGACATGCGTTTTTCTGGATTGTTTTGTTGTTATTCTGTCTCTCACTGTTCAAATAAACCTACCATTAAAATTATAGACTGATAATTTCTTTGTCAGTGGGCAAACGTACAAAATCAGCAGGGGATCAAATACTTTTTTCCCCTCACTGTATGTGCCATTCAGAGGGTAAATGGGCAAGATAAAATATTTAAGTGCCTTTGAACGGGGTATGGTAGTAGGTGCCAGGCGCACAGGTTTGAGTGTGTCAAGAACTGCAACGCTGCTGGGTTTTTCACGAATGGTCCACCACCCAAAAGATATCCAGCCAACTTGACAACTGTGGGAAGCATTGGAGTCAACATGGCCCAGCATCCCTGCGGAACGCTTTCGACACCTTGTAGAGTCCATGCCCCGATGAATTGAGGCTGTTCTGAGGGCAAAAGGGGGTGCAACTCAATATTAGGAAGGTGTACCTAATGTTTTGTACACTCAGTGTATACTAACCCATTCTCTGTGCAGAACTGCAAGGACCTACCAGCTACCACTTGTTTGTTACTGTTTTGGAGAGCTGAGGACTTCTTTAACCCTTAAAAACAATAGAACCTATGAAAACTCACCTTTACCCATATCTTTTCACTCAAATGGCTTGTTACCACAACAGAGTTTTGGCTCTGCCAACACACAGGTCTATCTTAATCAATCGCACGCACACTCTGGGATAGGGCCAAGTGTATCACACACAAATACTGCACTGGTTCTGATTCAAAGCATATCAACAACTATGATATGCAGGGATTTTCAACATGATGAGGTATGATTGGGGATTCAAATTGGGGTTACTGGGTTAGGATTTGGTGACGAGTTGAGATGCATTTTAATGTTGATGATGAATTACGCCTAGAATGTTCAAATGTGGTGGATGTATATGTTTTGTTGTTCTTGTCATTTAACTTTTCTTCATAAAGCATCTTGTGCTTAATATGCACTTTCAAAATCAAATAAATTCAAAAACTTAGATGATGACAATGTTGGGTAGGAATAGTTAATGGCAAAATGTACTAATGATAGCTTGATGTCAAGATGGTGGGTGGGGGTTACTTGATGTTCACTGATAATTCAAGGTGGTAAACTGTGATGTGGTACTACAGCGGAATCTTTGATTGGCATTTCACAACATGAGAAAGAGGTTTATGAATCAGAACCAGCTTCTAATCTACGTATTGTTATTTGAGGTTCTGGGCTTGGAGGATTTGGTTAGTTCTACTGCTACAGCTGTTACTGAGGTCCCAGGGAGTAAGACCTAGTATCTGCTTTTACCTCCAAGAGCTAGCGCATGCAAAGAAAAGAGAGAAAAAAAACAAAACAAAAAATACTTGTTTTCATTAGTACATTACAATGCTTAACTCAACAATGCTCCCACACTATATACATAGTTAGTACATACAACACAGAAAGAGAACAAGGACACTGATGTGCCTGGCGCAATTCATCAAACCTCTCTTGAAACATATCTAAAGCTGATAGAAGGTGTTCACTTGAAAACAAATAGTTAATATAACACATACGGTAATATTGCAGGTTTGTTTATGTAATAAAGCAATACAAGAGGTAGAAATAAACGGAGTTTAACTGTTGGCAGTGCTAACATACATGCTTAGTGAACAACCACTGAAAATAGTGCTACCGGGTATGTTGCGACAGGCTATATTTACCTGTTTCAGGTGTTTCTTGAGTTCTGTGGATTCTGGCTCGGGAAGAGGGGGTAGGTGCTCTGCATTGGTGGGTGCTTTGACCTGTGGAGCAACAAAGCATGCTTAAATTGTAAAATTGTACACTTCACACTCACTAGAGCACACAAATACCCCTTCAAATGATGAAAGCATACATCAGTCACCATTATTTTTTTGGTCATTTAGCAGACGCTCTTATCCAGAGCGACTTACAGATAGTGAAGTGCATACATTTTTCATACTGGCCCCCCGTGAGAATCGAACCCACAACCCTGGCCGTTGCAAGCGCCATGCTCTACCAACTGAGCTACAGGAGGCTAGATGAGAGGGAAGGTGTTTTCCCCTAGAAAGACAGACTGGGATGTGGGTGGGTGTTTTAGCACTGAAAACACTGACGCTCTCTCTGTCTCATAGAGTGGGAGGACTTTTATGTTGAAGTCAGTTTCTGCACAAGTCTGAAATGAGGATGACAAGAGCTAGGTTTCTTCCTCCTGCATAAAGTCGATATCTAGCCTAACACAATATCTGTCACAATGAGAGAACTGAACCCCAAAAGGGATTTAGCAGTGAAAATAAAGACATCTCAAGCAAGTGTCTAGACTATGTCTCCCAATCAGAGAGAATGCTGTATGGAACTCAAATGGAGTAGGGAACAGCATTGATCAGCAGATGAATAGCATAGATCTGCAGAGGAATAGCATAGATCTGCGAAGGAATAGCATAGATATGCGAAGGAATAGCATAGATCAGCGAAAGAATAGCATAGACCTGCGAAGGAATAGCATAGACCTGCGACGGAATAGCATAGATCTGCAGAGACCGTGGCAGGGACGCTGAAGCGCACCTCCATTTTGGGGCACTTACCTTGTTACAGTCCAGGTCCACGAGCCACACGTCGTCAGGCATTTTGAAATCTGATTTGTAGAGGAAGAAGCTGGCAGGCACACCTATGATGTAAGGGGTGGGGGCGAGGAGAAGCTACAAAGGAGAATGATGTCACAATCAGACAAAATCAAACCAGCACACAAGCAAGAACAGCTCCAATAGGAGGAGCTAGAACTTCACTAGGCATGGATTCAACTCCCAGGTAAAACTCCCAACATAATACAGGGACTAATCTCTTCTTCTACAACTACAATCACAAATGCCCTGACAATGGACAATAACATTTGCTAAATTAATCAAATAAAAAATAGTGAAACTTTCAAAGGCAATCAATTAGGGTGCAGGAATTCCTTAATATGTATATATATTTATTTTTTTTAAGTGTGTAGAAGTGCATCCCTTTAAAAGAAATCCATCCACAACCTCTGGTTCCAGCTTTTAAAAAGCCCTGTATTTGTTATCCTAATAGTACTACAACTACCAGTACTGCAGTCATTGGTTTGATTGGCATACCTGTTCAGCGGAGGCCATGCAGGTGGGCAGTAGGGGAATGACCGGGAACATGTACTCCAGGGGGTAGATCATGGCTACAAACGCCATGACACTCATGGTCAGGGCATTGTAGTCCCGCGACTGGAGGACTACCTGGAAGACACAAATCAAAACAAACTATTTGAAGTGCATTTAAACATCTCAATTGTAAATGGACAATAAATACATCAGAAGACTGTTAGGCATAGGTGATCACATGCCGTTTATTCCATACAAGATAGATTCAATTACATTCAATGACTTCACCATCCTAGAAAGTATCTTAAGATTTCTTCATTTTTCTCCCAAAGAGTTGTATTCGTTCACAATAAAAGATGTAGGATTGACTAGTTGTGTGGCTGTTGAAACAACCACACACACCCCAAAATATGGTGCTGTTTTCAGTGTACAACAGGGGCATGTTTCCAAGCTTGAACAGCGAAACAAGGTCCTTCAAGGGTAACCTGACACATTGTCCTTACAGTAAAAGGGAAGGGGGTAGACTAGAGTGTAGTCACTGCAGGTGTTCAGACAGGGGACTGAATAAGGGAGCGTGATGATTAGAGTGGTGACTTTAACCCAAGGAGGGCTACAGCAGTGACTGTATGAGTGGGTGGGTGGGTTAAGAACCGTGACTGGATGAGAGTTGGGTTTAAAATAAGTTTACAGCACAGGATGTTAGTTTAGGAGTATAGAGTAGTATACTATATATCCCTCAAACTCAACTCTGGACCTCGAAGCAAGTTCCACACTAATCAGGCACTGATTTAGATCTGGGACACAAGGTGGGTGCAATTAACTATCAGGTAGAACAGAAAAAATAGCAGGCTCCGGACCTGGTAGGGAGTTGAATATCCCTGCTATATATAAAAATCAGTGTTTGGGTAGTGTGGGACTTGGTCTTCAATAATCCAGTGAGATTGTGAACAAAACTTTTGAGTTGGCCATTTGATTAAATATCAAGAGTTGGACATATAGTAGGGGTGAGAACGTTTAAACGATATTGGGTTCCTTAACGTTAAGAAAAAACCCTAACGGGAAACGTTTTTTATTTATTTATTTCACAAAAATGTAATCACAGTGCAGCTGGCTTGCCTAATATCTCTTCGCTAATGATGCGAGTGTGTTCAGTCTTCAGTCTGTTGTGTGTACAATATCCTAGCCTATTCATTGATGATAGGCCCTGCTTTACTGAAGTTGCGCGACATTACAAGCCAAGAAAATACAAAATACAGCATTCCATAGCTTTGATTGCCGATAGATAGGCCTAGTGCACGGTTCTGACTCAGTCTGCCTGGTAGCCGACCTGCCTATACGGTGTCCCTCCCCTCTCTTTCCGTCCCTCGCTAGCTACAATAGTTATGAAAGATGCGAGTGTTTGTGTCCTCGGAAATATGCCAACTAATCAGTCTCCTTCGTTCCAACGATACTGGATTTTAGGAGTCGATTCCTAGATGAAAATGTGTTTTCTTTCTACTAAATGTCTCAGTAAGTCACGGTATTTAACAAACTTTAAATGTCTCAGTAAGTCACGGTATTTAACAAACTTTAAAGTAATTTTTTAGGAGAGAGTGGGTTTGTGCGCAGGCAGGCTGCACACAGGCAGCTCGAGATTATTTGATTGACAGTCCTAGTCGCCTAGTGATGGACGTTAGTCCCGTTTAAAAAAACTGCATTACTTTACAGAGCAGTAAAATGCCCGTTCAGTGGCGCTTCGAAACTATCTTCAGCGAAGGTAGTGTCGCCATTCAAAAATCCCTAGTGTACCCTTACAGACAAACAAATATGCTGTAGCCGAGGCGCTTTCAAGGGTATTTGACTGCGGTAGATCCGGGTTTCCGTTGGGAAAATTTGGCGCCGGACAAGTGACCGTGAAGATAGAAATGTGAACACTAAATGCATCAGGCTTAGGCGTCAACTGTATGATATTTAAATGTAAAAATATATACACTACCAGTCAAAAATGTGGACACACCTACTAATTCAAGGGTTTTTCTTTAGTTTTACAATTTTTTACATTGTATAATAATAGTGAAGACATCAAAACAATGTTATTATGTAGTAACCAAAAAAGTGAGATTTGAGTAGACACCCTTCAAAGTAGACACCCTTTGCCTTGATGACAGCTTTGCACACTATTGGCATTCTCTCAACCAGCTTCATGAGGTAGTCACCTGGAATGCATTCCAATGCCTTCTTAAAAGTTAATTTGTAGAATTTCTTTCCTTCTTTATGCGTTTGAGCCAATCAGTTGTGTTGTGACAAGTTAGGGGGGGGTATACAGAAGATAACCCTATTTGGTAAAAGACCAAGTCCATATTATGGCAACAACAGCTCAAATAATCAAAGAGAAACGACAGTCCATCATTAATTACTTTAAGACATGAAGGTCAGTCAATACGGAACATTAAGAACTTTCAAAGTTTCTTCAAGTGCAGTTGCAAAAATCATCAAGCGCTATGATGAAACTGGCTCTCACGAGGACCGCCACAGGAATGGAAGACCCAGAGTTACCAAATTTGAGATTTTTGGTTCCAAACCGCCGTGTCTTTGTGAGACGCGCTGTGGGTGAACGGATGATCTCTGCATGTGTAGTTCCCACCGTAAAGCATGGAGGAGGAGGTGTTATGGTGTGGGGGTGCTTTGCTGGTGACACTGTCAGTGATTTATTTAGAATTCAAGGCACACTTAACCACATGGCTACCACAGCATTCTGCAGCGATATGCCATCCCATCTGGTTTGGGCTTAGTGGGACTATCATTTGTTTTTCAACAGGACTATGACCCAACACACCTCCAGGCTGTGTAAGGGCTATTTGACCAAGAAGGAGAGTGATGGAGTGCTGCATCAGATGACCTGGCCTCCACAATCCCCCGAACTCAACCCAATAGAGATGGTTTGGGATGAGTCGGACGGCACAGTGAAGGAAAAGCAGCCAACAAGTGCTAAGCATATGTGGGAACTCCTTCAAGACTGTTGGAAAAGCATTCCAGGTGAAACTGGTTGAGAGAATGCCAAGAGTGTGCAAAGCTGTCATCAAGGCAAAGGGTGGCTATTTGAAGAATCTCAAATATAAAATATATTTTGATTTGTTTAACACTTTTTTGGTTACTACATAATTCCATGTGTTATTTCATAGTTTTGATGTCCTCACTATTATTCTACAATGTAGAAAATAGTAAAAATAAAGAAAAATCCTTGAATGAGTAGGTGTGTCCAAACTTTTGACTGGTCCTGTATATAAAAAGGAAGAGAAGCTTCGGGTTAGCCCCAGAGAGAGAGAGAAATTAAAGCAATTGTACACGAGAGGGCGTGCTAAACAAAAATGTTTACCACGGCTGTGCTGCGGTCATAGGTACGAGGAGGATCCAAGTACCGTAGATCACCACAGCTGTGCTAAAATAGTCGTTTTGCACAACCTCGAGTGTACAATTGCCTCTCTACAATGGGTTACCAATTCAATAAAAAAAACATTATTTTGATAAATGTATTCATAGGCTACTATTTCATCCCTCAGCGAAAATATAGGCCTAGTCCCGACACATCTATGGATGCTAGCCAAGCCAAGCCAGCTGGCCGTTCATTCTATCGGTTAGGTTGCCAGAGACGCGATCCAGTCGTTAAGTATTTTTGTTCTATATCTATGGACGAAACCCAGTCGTTCATTCTAAATGTTCCGTGGCAACGCTCTTATTCCTTGCTTGTAGCTGCATTTGCCGTTGGTTTTAAGATGTTTGGGATACATCCATAACAATGAGCTAATGATGCGCGATTTTGCCTGGCATAGAAAATGTGCTCTCTCGCCAGGACACTGTTCCGAGGAGCTAGCTAACTACACAACTAACGCAATCACTTCAAACTGAAGCTGGTAAGACAGCAAACTAGCTGCATTTCATGTCATTTGACCTGTTTTTCTATTGACATTTCTGTGTATATCCATAAGACTTTTGCTGATTCATGATTTTGACTGGCTGAGAAAAGATGTCCGTCTCGACCTGACACGTTCATTCTCAATAGGACAGTGGAGATCGAATTTCAATATTGAAACTATGTTGCAAATGTCAAGAGACAGACAGCAACTTTTGTACAAACCCCCGTTGTTGCAAACCAAATGTTAGGCTAGAAGCAAGGGGAAATAATGTCTAGATGCCTTTTACAGTGGAGATCAAGCTAATTAATTGGCTGGCTGGGCTGATGGGACAGAGATGAGCAGGGATTTCTCAGATGTAACAAAAAACAAGTTTCCTATTTTTGCATCATAGGCTTATACCCTTACTTAACAGGTTTTTTAGTATGGCTTAGAACGCGTCTCAACCAATCACAATGCTTGTTTTGACCAACCCATTGTAGAAAAATGCCGGCGGCATGCTAAGACACTGACATGCATTTCATTATCCTTGTCAGATAGGATAGCCTACTGCGTCTGCTATATACTTTTCTGTAAAAATATTTTTTAGAAAGAAAAGCATTATATTGTAAGATTATAGGAGTAACTTTGGTAGGCCTAAAACATTCTTCCTCACCTCAAGTTCAACTGTCGGAGTCAGTTGGAGCATGGGTGCGCACTACCTTCAAATCATAGGCCTGCAGTATAACAGGCTAATAGCCACACGAAACATTCACAAAAGTTTCTAAACTTTATTAGTGTAATACTGTATCAAAAGTAAGTCAAACTTTTATATGGAAAATACGAGCAGGATATTATATTGCAGCAAACAACATTAGTTGGAATTTAGTTTGGCCAAAGAAAATGACTCAGAATGAAACAAATCTCATAAAAGTTTAAAACAGCCTGTATTTCTGCAATTACCAAGAAAGGCTAGTGCCTACTGTACCCTAATTATATTTATTTTACAACAGGCCTAGTTATAACCTATCTTAAACTAAATACAGAGCACACAATTAAAAAGACAGATCAAACTTAATTTAGCCAACAAATGTCTCAACAGAATTAAACAAAACACGTTTTGCATATTTAAAGTACCGGTTTAGATTAATAAATATGCATTACAAAAACAACAATGATATACAGTAATAATAATGATAAGTATTATAAAAAATAAAAATTGAATCATAATGCAAGCACAGTAGCTTGCATTTGGCCGCGCTAACGTTCTTCTCATCTTTGTCCATATGGAGGACATTCCCCTTGTAGGCTTTCATTATAGGCATAATCTCTATTACTTAAATGAAAAATGATTCCATCTTTGCAGGCTCCTTTCTCGCTATTTCTCTCTCCTCAGTAGCATGCACATAAGGCAACACGGAAGGAGTGAGAGAATGGTGCTGAATTGTAAAATCGGGATGTACGATGTGCAGCTCCGGATAATCTGGCCAGCTACGATCGGCTTCTAATACATTTGAACGGAAACCCTGCCTTAGATATAACTTCATTGCCCTGCCCTAGCGGTCATACATGCGTAATCTGAATATTATTCTGCATTGTGAATTGACGTGGAATTTTATGATTTGTAAAAATCATTTTAACGGAAAACTGATTTTAAAAATGACAGTATAAATGTTAAGCAAAATTGTCCATTGTTCACATCCCTAACATATAGCTGTTGAGGGCAGGGACACACACAACAGTACTCATTCCACTGACACACCTAGGAGGCAATGGGTTGATTTGTGACTGGGCAATAGCCTTATTCAAGGCAGAGGCTGTGTTCGAGAGCATCAAAACCTTGATGTATCATGGGTTAATTGTGACTGACTGATCTACAAATAATATTTTATGTAGTTATTTATTTATGATGCAAGGTGATTTGTAGATCAGTCAGTCTAGACTTGCCTTTAAAGTCGGCTGTAACGTCGAACACGCCCAGAGTTGTTTGAGAGCATAAATTCTGCTGAGTCGCTGATCACCGACTGCACCAACTGACTGATTTACAAATCACTTTGCATCCTAAATAACTACTTATTATGATTTGTAGATCAGTCTGCTCAGTCACAGATTTAAAGCTCTCAAACACAGCCATAAAGTAGATCCCAGGGTAAACTCTATTCAAAACGTCAGCCCTTTCCCCTCACCTTGTGCTCCAGCAGGATGCAGCTGAGCACCATGAGGCAGGCGTCCACACCCAGCAACTCCAGCGGCAGGTGCAGGGGGAAGTCCACCATGGAGAAGCGAGAGTTGTCGGGCAGGGCGAAGGTGAGTGCCGGCTGCATCTCGTGGGGCAGCACCTCCACATCTACGCGCCGTTGGCCCGCCACGGGCACCGGGGAGCGCAGGAGACGGTAGACCCAGGACTCGATCTCCCGCAGGTCAGCCAGCAGCTGGCTGCCCTTTTCCTCCACCAACAGGGCCCCCGTGAACACGCGCCACATGGTGTCCCTGATGGGAGAATGACAAGTCAGTCAACAAACAGACAGTTTAGATACACATGGAGAGGCCTCTGTGACATGCGGAGGGAAATGGTGTCCCCGACAGGAGACAGTCAACAAATCCTATTACAATCATATTTCTCAACAGGCGATAAAAGCAAGCATATCCTGCAAGAAAATCCACCCAAACAAACCGTACCGCAACTTCACCTGTTCACATAAATTATTAGAATATTAGGCGAGCGCTACATCATCAAAACCTTATAACTATATTTACACAGACAAAGCACCCTTCCTTCTGCATTCTACTGTACGTTGTGATTGTGCAATGAGCAAACAAGATGTAAGCAAAGGAGGTCCCTTGAGCCGCCGACATGTCGACAGCCCTCCACTCTGAACGTACACACCCTTACACACACGGTAGCATTAAACCCTCTTTTCAGTTGCCTGCCGTCTGTTGGCAAGGGAGGGAGGGAGATTAATCATTAGCTCGTCAGAGCTCGCCCTGGGCCACCGCCCACTGCAGCTGCTCCCTGAAGGCAGTCAGAAACCTCAATCTGTCAGCCAAGCGCTGTGTGTGTGTGTGTGTGTCATAGACTTATAGGCAGCGTGTAAGTGTGACTGTGTGCGTTTGTCTGTGCATGTGTGTGTGTCTGTCTGTATATGTGCGTGGTGTGTTTGTGTGTGCCGCAGCAGCCCGCAACGCAGTAGCCCCTCACAGTGTTATGTAAACCAGCACGGCCAGGGCTCTAAAGTGCGACCAATTTGGACGCATATACACCTAAATATTTTGCTGTACGACCTGAAGTTTTATTTTGGGAGCACCAGTGCGACTAAAATGAAATAAAAAATGAATAAATGTGTAACAGTATTTCACCGCAACACTCTTCTCTACACTGCTCAAACAAGACAGGCTGCCTCCCACGTCTGCTTGCTTCCAGTTCCCGGACCACACACACCAAGCCCCGGCCCCTGTCAATCAAGCAGAGAGCGCACAGTTCCTCCACAGAGTTACTGTCTTTGGTTCCTCCACAGCCGTTTATTCTCTCAGCATGGTGTCAATTCATACCCTCAACATATTCTCCTAAAACAAGAATGATGCTGCTTTCCAGGTTGTTTCTAAATATGAATTCACAGGTCTTCTCTATTATACTATTACTTTGTGTATCTTGCTCTCTGCAAAACGCAAGTTAGTCTAAGGAAGCTGGCATATGCCTAAAATAATGCTAATGCTGATCACTAACTAGCTAGCTAAATGCACAAGCTAGGGCAAAGCAAATGTTAGCTCTCATACAGGTTGTTACCAGTGGTGGTGTAGATCAGCATGTTGTTTGTACAACGGCATGTTCTGAATCAGATAGCCTATTTTAAAATCTTTGTCCAAATGCAGCATCTATTCAAATGTGATTAGGGTCCCCTAGAAAACACTGACCAACACGTTGGTTCCCACCCTGTCAAAACTCCTAGCTTACTTTTTAATTTGTTGTCATGCCAAACACCAACCATAGAATTTTTATAGTAATTATATTTCTATGAATCCAACAGTTCACCCAAGTGTGTTGATCTATATCACAAGTCAAATTGCAAGATTTGGTTGAAAATAACAATTTTATTTCTTTTCCATATGGTGCAGCCCTACCTTAACAATATATGCAACTATTTGGTGGCACAGAAAGAAAGGAAAAGTGATATCTTTTTCAGGAGCTGTGCTTCAAATGTAAGTAGGATTCATATAGGCCCAATGCAGGCTATATCAATCAATTTACAAATCAAATTTTCTGGTGCTCCTAAATTGTATGTGGTGCACAAGTGCTACCAACAAACATTTTTAAATTTAGAGCCCTGAGCACGACCCTTGGGTCTCTGTCTCTCGGTCTTCGTCACCGCGCCACACACAGACCAGGGAAAATGTCAGGACAGTGAGTGAGGTCTTCATTAACCCGAGGCAGAAGCATCTTACAGCTCCATCTGTGCTTCATTCCCCTCTGCTTCTGATAGGGTATTGTTGTTTACCGACATCTGCTACTACTACACACAGGGATTGGCTATGCTGTGCTTTTCATGGAGCTGAGGGACAATTGTTATGATTGTCTCGGCAGACAATTTATGGATCCATTGTGGTGTTGATTGTTATAGAGGAAAGGAGACAGGATTGTTTATTGAGGGACGAAAACTTCAATTGAAGCAAATAAATAAGTTACTTTAATAAGTTACAATTGCAGCCTTATTTTCAATATATAGTACCAGTCAAAAGTTTGGACACACCTACTCATTCCAGGGGTTCTTTATTTTTACTATTTTCTACAATTGTAGAATAATAGTGAAGACATCAAAACTATGAAATAACACATATGGAATCAAGTAGTAACCAAAAAAGTGTTAAACAAATCAAAATATATTTTATATTTGAGATTCTTCAAATAGCCACCCTTTGCCTTGATGACAGCTTTGCACACTCTTGGCATTCTCTCAACCAGCTTCATGAGGTAGTCACCTGGAATGCATTTCAATTAACAGGTGTGCTTTGTAAAAAGTTAAATTTGTGGAATTTCTTTCCTTCTTAATGCCTTTGAGCCAATCAGTTGTGTTGTGACAAGGTAGGGGTGGTATACAGAAGATAGCCCTATTTGGTAAAAGACCAAGTCCATATTATGGCAAGAACAGCTCAAATAAGCAAAGAGAAACGACAGCCCATCATTACTTTAAGACATGAAGGTCAGTCAATATGGAACATTTCAATAACTTTTCAAGTTTCTTCAAGTGCAGTCGCAAAAACCATCAAGCACTATGATGAAACTGGCTCTCATGAGGACCGCCACAGGAATGGAAGACCTAGAGCTACCCAGAGGATAAGTTCATTAGAGTTACCAGCCTCAGAAATTGCAGACCAATTAAATGCTTCAGAGTTCAAGTAACAGACACATCTCAATATCAACCACTACTAAAGGACACCAATAAGAATAAGAGACCTGCTCGGGCCAAGAAACATGAGCAATGGACATTAGACTGGTGGAAATTTGTTTTTCAACAGGACAATGACCCAACACAGCTCCAGGCTGTGTAAGGGCTATTTGACCAAGAAGGAGAGTGATGGAGTGCTGCATCAGATGACCTGGCCTCCACAATCCCCCGACCTCAACCCAATTGAGATGGTTTGGGATGAGTCGGACCGCAGAGTGAAGGAAAAGCAGCCAACAAGTGCTCAGCATATGTGGGAACTCCTTCATGACTGTTGGAAAAGTGTGCAAAGCTGTCATCAAGGCAAAGGGTGGCTATTTGAAGAATCTCAAATATAAAATGTATTTTGATTTGTTTAACACTTTTTTGTTTACTACATTCCATATGTGTTATTTAATAGTTGATGTCTTCACAATTATTCTACAATGTCAAAAATAGTAAAAAAATAATAATAAAAAAATTGAATGAGTCGGTGTGTCTAAAATTGACAGATAGTGTATCTCTAAGAAAACTTAATAGAACTTGTGTTAAAATAATAGAAACATTTTGCTTAAAACGAAATGCTTTTGCATGGGAATGTCTCAATATCCTGAGTGCGTAAAGGTGCATGCACACAATGTTCTCGGATCTTCATCAATTGCCTTGCATGAACACCAGCCGACAGCAGCATGATAGGCCATGTTCCGGTGTGTAGACACGAGAGCAGGGGAACCACGCATTTCCTGCAGCATTTGTTAGGAGACTCCACAATAGGGGACAAGGCAAGGCCATGCTGACTCACTGATGACACTACACTACCCACAAGGTTCTCATTGTCCAGTGTCCATATCACCTCCAAGAATTGAAGGTCAAATTCTCTGGCCTTTCAGACCAGTGTTGTTTAAAAATGTAATGAGTGGGGCAATTCCATCTAGTCTATTAAATATCACGAGTGGGTTTAAAAGGCCATAAGAAATTGGTACATTGCCCATTACTGTATTTTCAATACGTTTTTATTCCCAATTCCTGGATTTCAAAAAGAGTATTCAGATCACCTTTATTTGAAAAAACAAGTAGTTGAATATTGGATTCTATTTGAAAAAACTCAAATACATTCCCATGCATAATAATTGTTTTAATGAATACTTTCAAATACAATTTGGTAGACTATTTTTTATTTTTTTATTTTTTACAAATAATCATTCAAATACTCAAATAAAAATACTTGTTTTGGGCTGTGTATATTACAACCAGATCAGACTGAATCTGTTCTGGACGTTGATTTGGATTTAAAATGTATCATACTGTGACCAGATCCCGAATATCAGCTCTGGATTTATAAACATAGGAATTTAGAACATTTTGCAAAATGATCTTCCAAGATAAGTGCTTACGACTAATACTAACCTCATTGTATGTCACTACCTCAACTTTTCTTGCTTTCAGATAGAGCTGGTCAATCACTTGTGGTTGCAACAGAGCTGGGTGGTTTCAAATAAAAACAGCCTAAATAAATGACCATTGACCACATACCTTTGAATCACATTTTTGGTAGGGATAGGCCTGCTGTTGGAAGTGTTCTGGCCTGGGTAGTTTTAGGATAGTTTTAGCAACGCTGTGATTTTACTCAACTGAATATCCTGAAATAAATTATGGAAACCAGGGGGCTCCATCGTTTGATAAGCCTGGCACTTTGCATACCTCTGAGTTCCGCGGGGCAGGCCGGCACGCTGGGTCAACCTGTGGCTGCAGCAGTCCACCATTCTCTTGAGGATGTACAGGCACTCCCTGAAGGTGGAGAAGAAGGGGTAGTGGCTGATCATGCACAGCGAGGTCAGCGTGCTGTCGCGGTTCCGATTGACCATCTTGGCAGTGCTGCGTTTGTGCCGAGGGGACCTGCCAGCATTTGGCTCGCCACCGGGCGGTCCCGGCTCCATGCTTGGCGCAGATGTGGCTGTTGTGTCGGCACTGGCAGGTGTCGGCAACGTGGAGGCAGTGGGGCAGCCACCGCTGCCATCGGAACTCTCGCTGGTCGCTTCCGCTGTCTGCGCCGCCGTTTCACCGCTACCCACCTTGTCGCGGCGGTGCCCCCCTCGCTGGAAGGAGCGGTAGAAGTTGACGCAGATACCGTAGCGCGTGATGCCCGAGTCTTTGTCAGTGAGTGCGAAGACGAAGGAGGCGTCGTCTCGCAGGCTGACCCGGCGCTGCCGGATGCTCTGGCATCCCTCAGGCTGACAGAAGAAGACCACGTCCGGGGACAGAGGGAAGTCCGGGTGGTCCTCCAGCGGGTAGCGGCGGAGGAGCTGGGGGGTCTGGGACCCGCTGTCAGTGCTGGGCTGCCTGGAAGGTAGGATGGAGGGAGAATGGGCATCAGAAACAGCATTGTGAAACAGCATTGTATAGGCCTAACGATATAATGTGAGGTAGTAGGACTCAGTTTGGGTTTGGACTGTTATCTCCCAACCAACCCTATGAAGTCCTCACCTGGCTCCGACCACCACCAGGTAGTCCAGTAGACGGGGGCACATTTTCTTTTTCTCCATCTTTGATTGATGATCTCTTTAGGTCATGGCAACACAGACATATATCACCTCTCTGGTCAGTCAGCAGCTGTTCAATCACGAAGAGGCAGGGCTAGGTGTGGGAGGAGCATGCAGGACCTTAGTGGTCATTGTGGACATCTGAGAAAATAATGGGGAAACCTGTAAAACAAGAAAATGTAGCATGTTATGTCTACAGAGGTTTTCAGCTTTATTCGTTCACTAAAGTCTTGTTCACACTGGCAGTTTGAAGTGACTCAAATCAGTCTGTACTGCCAAAAAGCACATGGAATGGGATATTTCAAGCCGCATACAAATCTGATTCCTGGCCATGCGATTTATTTGCCCTCAAGTGGGTTTTAGACTTATTTGGCATATTTTGTTGCTTTCTAGCTACTCTGTTGACAGTTTGACAAGAACATGTGGTAGCTAACTAGCTTGTTAATTGTTTACAAACAAAGTAGTGAATGTGCTAGGAAGCTGAACAGCTACCTAGCTAGCTAGTTGACTGCTGTGGTTAGCCAAAAAGGACTCGTTTTGAAAGTTAGCTTAGTTTGCTACATAACGTCTGAGTGGTAGGAAGCACAAGCACCACCACCAATCAACCTACACCACTGCGCACACACCCGTCATTACTATGACAACTAGCATAGTCAGCAAATGCCTGCGTCTGAATACACACACAAATGCGATTTGGTCACTTACATTTAAGTCATTTAGCAGACGCTCTTATCCAGAGCGACTTACAAATTGGTGCATTCACCCTATAGCCAGTGGGTTAACCACTTTACAATAATTTTTTTTTTTTTGGGGGGGGGGGGTAGAAGGATTACTTCATCCTATCCCAGGTATTCCTTAAAGAGGTGGGGTTTCAAATGTCTCCGGAAGGTGGTGAGTGACTCCGCTGTCCTGGCGTCGTGAGGGAGCTTGTTCCACCATTGGGGTGCCAGAGCAGCGAACAGTTTTGACTGTTTTCACTTGTAACTTACTGTTTGAACAGTCAGTATTCCAAAACGGATTTGAGCATTAAGGCCTGCAGTGTGAACAAGGCTTAAGTAGCTAGGCTAATTGTACATTTCTATTGCCTAAAAATGTCAGATTGAAAATGCAGCTAACCACACAAGGCTTATTTGTTTAACCATTTTTTGTAACTCAAGCTTGTCTAGCTAATACTGCTATGACAATTTGAACAAGTTAGTTAAAAATTCCTAATTTGAGGTAGCGTGTGCCGTACACATGCACAGTTTCACGGACTCCACAGAAAGGAGAGTTCCCACCCCACCTCAGACAGTGCGGACAATTACTATTGGTAATATGTCCACTCCGGGCACATATCTTAAGAATCTATGATTAGTTGTCTCTTTTTTGTGACCAACTTTTTAGTTAGTTAGCCTTTATGCATCATTATGATTACACCTTTAGTTTTGTTTGGGGCTGATGAAAAAGCAGCCAGTTTGTACAAATGGTTCTCTATTCATTGTGAGTCCTTTTGAACCAGGTGTGTTTCTTGGAGCATTGCTATATCAAACACGGTTTCTTACTAGGATATCAAGACAGCTGGAACATTTAATAGGACGGTTTAGGCCTTTCAAATTCCAAGAGAGAATAGCTAGCATTGCCATTAGTAAAAAAAAAAAGAATGTATTATTAATGATGTAATTGTTATCTTTAGTGGTAATAAGTGTTGAATCTCCACCTCCACAACTACTGCAAAATGTGACAATAAGCTCTCCTACAGGAAATGTCTATACTGAGCCTCCTTTCTGTTGGAGGCACTTATAGGGCTTAGGGAAACTTTTCAATAGCAGCTCTCTGATGAAGTAAGCAGCTTAGGGGGTAAAGGGTCCCTGTGTGAGAGGTCTTCCGGGAATGTAAGCTCCCTCAGAGCTTGCACTATGGCCCAGCCATCCCTCTAATTCTAACAGGTACTGGCAGCAGGCTCAACAAACAGGGGTAACCATCCCCCACTGCTGAACCACTTAGAGTCCAGTGGATAAGAACCAAATACACCCAATATTGTGTATTTTATGATAATATTATGAGATGTATGGGACACAATACTAAGGCTACCATTACATATTATGCAAGCACTGTTTTGGAACATGTTATATATCATTCTAATCCACAGATAAAGTATCACACAATATTTTGAAATCATTAGGAGCATGCTGAAATGTGATCCTGTCAATCGAGGGATCAAAATATGAAAGTGGAGATGAAGTGGAGGAGACAGGTTTAAGAAGGATTTTTAAGCCTTGAGACAATCGCAACATGGATTGTGTATTTGTGCCATTCAGAGGGTGAATGGGCAAGACAAAATATTTAAGTGCCTTTGAACATGGTATGGTAGTAGGTGCCAAGCACACCGGTTTTTCACACTCAACAGTTTCCCGTGTGTATCAAGAATGGCCCACCACCCAAAGGACATCCAGCCAACTTCACAACTGTGGGAAGCATTGAGTCAACATGGGCCAGCATCAATGTGGAATGCGTCACTGTGGAATGCGTTCGACACCTTGTAGGACATTGTGGGTGCTCTATTCAACATGCAGTTCCAGATACAGCCTTTCCATTTGAAAGTTGAAGGCAGCCAATCCAATACTTCATGAAAAAGTAGTCACTTCCTGAGATCTGTATAAAAATATATATTTTTTAAAGTATTCACTTTCTGACATCTGTAACTATTTGTCCAAACCATGTAAAAATATATTATGATGATGATGATGATGATGATGATGATGATGATTTCCGGGATGGAAAAGTGCTTTCAGTGTAAACTTAAATGACTAAAACCAGATAGATATGTACAATAATGTACCTATATATTTTCAAATGATATAATCTTTGAGAACAAACAATGGTGACTGTTAGAGGCAAACTAACCAATAAAAAGGCAAGATTCTGTGGCTGTGTAATATCCTTGTATGACAGACCTGCACTGCTGTGTGTGTATGTCCTGAAGTTGCCCCAAAGGTACACCACTGTTGGATAATCACCTCAGGAGTGCACAGCCAGTGCATCTGGGAAGACCCTTCAGAAGTGGATGAGGCATCAGCATTAGCCACTCAGTCGAAAAACATCAACTGGGCGGGTGCAATCAAGCCTGCAGGGATTAGCCTTGCTCTAGAAACAAAGCAAGAGCACCAATATTCTATACTACCCTCAAAGTAAATTTCAGTTTCAAAACTATAATTCCTACAAACACCTGCCTAGTACATTTAGAAAGGGAAGAACTTTTAAATAAAATATGTCACCAATTATTGTTCCAAAATGATTTTTTTTAAATGATTTTGTTGTTGATCTTTTACCTAATGGTGGCGGTCTAAACATGCGCAAATTCAAATAGCAACACAGCCATTTTTTATATACAGTGCCTTCAGAAAGTATTCACACCCCTTGACTTTTTCCACATTTTGTTGTTACAGCCTGAATTTAAAACGGATTAAATTGAGATTTGATGTCACTGGCCTACACACAATACCCTATAACGTCAAAGTGGAATTATGTTTTCAAACACAGATTCAACCACAAAGACCAGGGAGGTTTTCCAATGCCTCGCAAAGAAGGGCACCTATTGCTAGATGGGTAAAACATTTAAAAAGCAGACACTGAATATCCCTTTGAGCATTTTGAAGTTATTAATTACACTGTGGATGGTATATCAATACACCCAGTCACTACACCCAGTCACTACAAACATACAGGCATCCTTCCTAACTCAGTTGCCGGAGAGGAAGGAAACCGCTCAGGGATTTCACCATGAGGCAATGTTGACTTTAAAACAGTTAGAGTTTAATGGCTGTGATAGAATCAAACTGCGGATTGATCAACAACATTGAAGTTACTCCACAATCCTAACCTAAATAACAGAGTGAAAAGAAGGAAGCCTGTACATAATACAAATATTCCAAAACATGCATCCTATTTGCAATAAGGAACTAAATTAAAACTGCAAAGAATGTGACAAAGAAATTAACTTTATGTCCTCAATACAAAGCGTTATATTTGGGGCAAATCCAACAACACATCATTGAGTACCAGTCTTCATATTTTCAAGCATGGTGGTGGCTACATCATGTTATGAGTATGCTTGTCATCGACAAGGACTAGGACGTTTTTTAGGATTAAAAAAAAAATAGAACAGAGCTAAGCACAAGCAAAATCCTAGAGGAAAACCTGGTTCAGTCTGCTTTCCAACAGACACTGGGAGACAAATTCACCTTTCAGCAGGACAATAACCTAAAACACAAGGCCAAAAATACACCCTGGTAGCTTACCAAGACGACATTGAATGTTCCTGAGTGGCCTAGTTACAGTTTTGACTTAAATTGGCTTGAAAATCTGTGGCAAGACTTGAAAAAGGTTGTCTAGCAATGATCAACAACCAACTTGACAGAGCTTGAAGAATTACAAAAATAATACATGTGCAAATATTGTGCAATACAGGTGTCCTTGAGTGGCCCAGAAAGACACAGCTGTAATCGCTGCCAAAGGTGATTCTAACATGTATTGACTCAGGGGTGTGAATTCTTATGTAAATAAGATATCTGTATTTCATTTTCAATACATTTGCAAACATTTTTTCACATTCTCATTATGGGGTATTGTGTGTAGATGGGTGAGACAAATCTATTTAATCAATTCTGAATTCAGGCTGTAACTCAACAAAATGTGGAATAAGTCAAGGGGTATACATTTACATTTTTGTCATTTAGCAGACGCTCTTATCCAGAGTGACTTACAGTTAGTGAGTGCATACATTTATTTTTTTCATACTAGCCCCCCCGTGGGAATCGAACCCAACAACCCTGGCGTTACAAACGCCATGCTCTACCAACTGAGCTACATCCCTGCCGGCCATTCCCTCCCCTACCCTGGATGACGCTGGGCCAATTGTGCGCCTCCCCATGGGTCTCCCGGTCGCGGCCGGCTACGACAGAGCCTGGATTCTAACCAGGATCTCTAGTGACACAGCTAGCACTGCGATGCAGTGCCTTAGACCA